ACAGACAGTCTGGTGGCCTCCTGGCCAGGAGCCCTGGGGATGGTGGTTAGAGAAGGGTAGCTCGATTTTGCCAGTCTGAGTTCCAGTCTGGGAAGAGCCTGAGGAGCCAGGCCTGCTGGATCACCCACGGGCCTGTCTTCCCTTTCCTCTCAGAGCTGGGAAGCAGCCTTGGCCCTGGGATTTGACTTTGGAATCCTCTGAGAAATTTGACTGAAGGGAATCAATAAGTCGGAATCAAAGAATCCGAGAGCCGAAGGCACTTTGTGTGGTAGTCTTGTCCATCCGCCCCCTCCCTCACAGATGCCAAACCTGGCCCCATTAGTTGAAACCCGGTCCTGTGTTTGAAGAACCCAAGGAAGGACACCACCTGCATCCTGATCACCCATCTCCATGTCTAAAACTTCTAACCACCGGAAAGCTCTGCCCTTGAGTCCCAGTTCAAGTACATTTTTCTCAGTGGAAATGAGGTGAATTTGGACCTTGAAGAACTTAGTAGGGGTGACTGATCCATACACATTTAATTTTGAATAAAATATTCTGAGACTATGTTTTGTTTTTTGGTGAGGAAGATCCGTCCTGAGCTAACATCTGTTGCCAGTCTTCCTCCTTTTGCTGAGGAAGGTTGTCCCTGAGCTAACATCTGTGCCCATCTTCCTCTATTTTGTATATGGGACGGTGCCACAGCATAGCTTGATAAGCGCTGCGTAGGTTTGCACCCGGGATCCAAACCTGTGTACCCAAGGCCACTGAAGCAGAGCATGTGAACTTAACCACTACATCAGCGGGCTGGCCCCTGAGACTATGTTTGAGATATGTACAGGTTGCTATTGGGAGCATAAGGAAGGGGCCCTTAGTTCAATCTGGGGGTTCAGAGAGGCTTCCTGAAGAACACAGAGTCTGAGCAAAGTCTGAGAAGGGTAAGTTGGAGTCACACAGGCAAGAGCGTTGGGAAGGGCATGCCCAGCAGAAGGAAGCCGTTGAACGAAGTCACAGAGGTATCAAATACATGGTAATTAATGGTTGGAGATGAGCCTTGATAAAGAAGGCCTTGTAAAGGAATCAAATAGGGAGACTTTGAAGGGGTTTAAGCAGCAAGTGAGAAGATCAGATTTACACTTCAGCAAGAGCCCTCTAGCTGCTCTGTGGAGAAAGCCTTAAAGAGGGAGAGGTTTGTAGGAGGAGGACCTGTCAGAAGGCTATTGTAATCACCCAAGTGAGCAAAGATAAGGGTTTAATTAGGGCAGCAGCAGTTAGGATAGAAGGAAGGACTAGATTTGAGGAGCATTAAAGAGGAAAAGTTGTCAGGCCTTGGTGGTTGGCTATAGGGGTGAATGGAAGGAGGAATCCAGGATGACTGTAGGGTTTCTAGCTTGGGGGACTGGGTGGTGTCATTCACTGCAGTGGGGAGCTGTGGGGGCAGTGCGAGGAGAAGGTTGTGGGAAGGAAAGAAGGTGATAGTTCAGTTTTGGACGTTTGGGGTTTGACGTATGGGTGGGCCTAGAAACTTGAGAGGAGAGAGACACATTTGACCTCATCAACACATGAGTGTTATGGAAAGGAAACAGGAACAGATGAGATTGCCCAACAGAGGGTGTCGTGTTCACAGTGGGCTGAGAGTGGGATCCTGAGTCAACCCCAACGTTTCAGGGGTGGACAAAGGAAGAGGAGGACAGAGGAGGTAGAGAACAAGAAAAAATAGTGTCACGGAAGCCAGGGGGTAGAGAGTTTTATGGAAGGAGGGAATGGTCTGTAGAGCCCAATGCAGCAGCAATGTCCAGGCAGGTAGAAACGCCTGGAATTAGGTGGCCTTGTACTGGGGCAGTTTGAGGGGGATGTAGGGGCCAGAAGCCACATTACAGTGAGTTGAAGAGTAAATGGAAGGGAATTGGGAAGCATGTCCACTACTCTTGTGAAGTTCGGCTGGGAAGAGAGGAAGAACAGAGGGGTGTTACCTGGAGGACAAAAGTCAGGGAGAGGTGCTTAGGGCGTAGGTCTTTCTTTTGAAGGCTGGAAGAAGCTTGAACATGGGTATGTGCTGAAGAGAGAGACTCAGTTAAGGAGAAGAGGTGGAGATACAGGCAGGGGAGGGGAAATTTGTGGAGCATTGTCGTGGAGGAGATCCAGTGGAAGGGGCCAGAGCACAGAGGCGTGTGCCTCAGCCTTCCCTTGAGACCACAACAGGAAAGGAGGCTGCATACAAGTGTGGATAAGGCAGTGGGGAAGAGAGGCAGGAAGTTGAGACAGATTATTTCCAATGGCCTCAGTTTCCTCTTCACAATGGTGCCTGGCTAAGGTAAATCTTACTGCTCTGCTTATCGCCGCTCAGGGCTGGAAATACACAGTCATTCTCTGTATTAAAAGGCTCAAGCTCAGTCCAACTTTGAGCATCTGTCTAGTGTCTTCTATCTAAAGGACCTCCTTTTCCTAGGACCAATTTCTCAGCTCCAGGCATCTAAATTCTGAGTATCTCCATCTGCTCACCCAATTCCTTTGAATTTCAAATAGCAAGACTCTCTGTTACCGTCTGTGATAAAAACTAATCTATAAGAAGCTGTTGAAGGGTGGGGAAACTCAACCGGCAGAGAAATCAGCAGACAGCAGCTTCGTATGCCCTGAGGCTGGGCTTGGGCTATTCCATCTTTGGGAAGTACTTCCTAAGATTCACTTAGCCTTCAGGCCAGGGTTCTGCACCTGTGTCTGAGAGATGCCCCAGGTTCCTGGGAGGGCATGTCAGGTTAAGGGATACCCTTGTCTTAACTCCTTTTGGATATGATCAAATTTGCCACCCAAGAATCTATCTGAACCTTTTTCTTATTGATGTTTTCATCCTTCTAATCAGGAGGATTTAGATGCTTCATATGTTTGTTGAGTAGAGCAGTACAAGTGAATGAACAATTTTTTTTTTTTTTTTGGTGAGGAGATTAGCCCTGAGCTAACATCCGTTGCCAATCCTCCTCTTTTTGCTGAGGAAGATTGGCTCTGGGCTAACATCTGTGCCAATCTTCCTCTATTTTGTGTATGGGATGCCGCCTCAGCATGGCTTGATGAGCGGTGTGTACGTTGGCGCCTGGGATCCAAACCCATGAACACCAAGCTGCCGAAGCAGAGTGCATGAACTTAACCACTACACCACCAGGCTGGCCCTGTGAATGAACAATTTTTGATAATTTTATGAAATTGTGACATTCTCAGCTGCTGGTGCTAAGGGTCAGACTATTTCACACTCACCTCCTCCATCCTAACCTGAAACACACACACAGACACAGACGCAGACACACACACGTCATGGTTCTCAGCTTTGGCTACACACTAGAATCTCCTGGGGAGTTTTAAAAATACCACTACCCTACCGCAGACCAATTAAATCAGAATCTCTTGAGAGTACTTCGGCGTCAGTCCTTTTAAAAAGTTCCCCGGTGTTTCTTTTTTTTTTTGAAAGATTTTATTTATTTATTTATTTTCCCCCCAAAGCCCCAGTAGACATACATCTACTGGATGTATGTCATAGCTGCACATCCTTCTAGTTGCTGTATGTGGGACGCAGCCTCAGCATGGCCGGAGAAGCAGTGTGTTGGTGCGCGCCCAGGATCCGAACCCCGGGCCACCAGCAGCGGAGCATGCGCACTTAACTGCTAAGCCATGGGGCCAGCCCACCCCGGTGTTTCTGATGTCAGCCAGGGTGAGAACCGCTGGGCCAGGCTAACCTTGTCATCACAGCCGTTTGTTCAGTGGCTTTTTCATGTCATGGCTTCTAAAGAAAAGGACACCGACGCTGGCATGAATGAAGGGGGCTGCCTGCAGCCACAGGCAGCTGGCCTGGGGGTCCTCCTTGCCTGCCTGGCTTCCTGAGGGCCAAGGGGAAAAAAAATTCAGTATTTTGGCACACCTGTCATCCGTCAGGCACCCAGGTCTCACCTGGTGACAGGCTTTGTTTTATTGCTCATATTGCTGTCTTTTGGGAGGATCTTAGTGCAATCTGAGTAATTATAAGATCTGTTTCATAAGGCTCTGTTGTAGTTTTCATTTATAGCTTTATTGAGCTATAATTGACATACAATAAACTGTACATATTTAAAGTGTACAGTTTGATAAGTTTTGACATATGTACCCTTGAAACCATTACCAGAATCAGGATAATGAACATATGCATCATCCCCAAAAGTTCCCTTATGCTCCTTTGTGATCCATCCCTCTTTCCACTCCTTCCCAGATAACCACTGATCTGCTTTCTGTCACTCTAGATTAGTTTTCATTTTCCAGAATTTTATGTAAATGGAGTCCTACATACTCATACTCTTTTGTCTGGCTTCTTTTAGTCAGCATAGGTATTTTGAGATTCATCCATGTTATTGCATGTGTCAGTAATTCATTCATTTTTGTTGCTGAGTAGTGTTCAATTGTGTGAACATAACACATTTTTTAAATCTATTCACCTGTTGATGGACATTAGGGTTCTTTCCAGTTTTGGGGTATTACAAATAAGGCTGCTATGAATATTCCTGTACAAGTCTTTGTGTGGACATATCTTTCATTTTTCTTAGGTGAGTAACCAGGAGTGAGATAGTTGAGTCACATGGTAGGTGGATGTTTACCTTTACAATAAGCTGCCTAACTGTTTTCCAAAGCAGCTGTACCGTTTTACCCTCCCCACCAGCAGTGTATGAGAGCTGTCCTCTTTAAACTGGCTGAGGAGCCCTTGTTTCTGTCTTTTTCTCTTGGCTGGTGCAAGGTGCCTCCTTCTGTCCTCGGGGTGTGTGTGGGAGAGGTGATGATGGGAATTAGGGACCAGAGACATGTATAGATGAATGGATGGGTTGATGGATGTAATAGATAGATAGATAAAGTTGTCTTGGTATCTCTTTTTTCCTCCACTTTTCTGTTTTTTGCCATCTGTTTTAGGCACTGAAGAAACAGGCAGTGGCCCAGATTATGTCGCCTAAGTCAGATTATTAATACGTCTCTTTTTGTGACTGATTGATATTTTTACCCCTTACCTGCAGGTGCCCAGCCACCATGCCCCAAACCCTGCAGACCTGACATTGGCAGGAAGTAAAAGACTTCCTCATCTCCTCCATCCCCCATCCTCACCATGTCTTCGACTCAGGGCAATGGAGAACACTGGAAGTCCCTGGAGTCGGTGGGCATCAGCCGCAAAGAGCTGGCGATGGCCGAAGCCCTGCAGATGGAGTATGATGCTCTGTCCCGGCTCCGGCAAGACAAGGAGGAAAGCAGAGCCAAGCAGCACACAGACCCCTCTCTCATCAGCTGGGATGAGCCTGTCCTAGACTTCTACAGGAAACCGGCAGGAAGGCGGAAGGACCTCAAGCTCTTACGTGGTCTTTCTGGCTCCGATCCTACCCTCAACTACAACTCGATCTCCCCACAAGAAGGCCCGCCCAACCACTCTACCTCCCAGGGTTCCCAGCCTGGCCCAGATCCCTGGCCTAAAGGCTCCCTGGCTGGAGACTATCTCTACATTTTTGATGGTTCGAATGGGGAGCTCTCTTTGTCCTCAGGACCCGGAGACATAGAGGGCTCTTCCAAGAAACTGTCCCCACCTCCTCTGCCTCCCCGAGTCTCTATCCGGGACACCCCTCCTCTGCCTCCCAGAAAGGGGTCCCCCTCATCCTCCAAGATCTCCCAGCCCAATGACATTAACACTTTTTCTTTGGTTGAACAACCTCCAGGCAAGTTGCTAGGGCATCGGATCCTAGAAGAGGAAGAAGAGCAGAGGGGTGGGAGTCCGGGGCACCTTCTCGGGTGTGTGGACTATGATGGTATCAACGATGCGATTACACGGCTTAACTTGAAGTCAACCTATGATGCAGAGATGTTGCGGGACACCAGCAGGGGCTGGAAGGAGGGCCGGGGGCCCCTGGACTTTGGCAAGGACACTCCTGGAAAACCCGTGGCCCGGAGCAAGACCATGCCCCCTCAGGTGCCCCCCCGCACCTATGCCTCTCGCTACGCCAACCGAAAAAATGCGACACCGGGCAAGAACCGCCGGATTTCTGCTGCTCCGGTGAGGACCTGGTGTTTCTCCTGTCCCCCTTGCCTTGTGTCCTTCAGAAACAGAATAGTCCTTCTTTCTTCTTTGCTGTTCCAGACCCAGATCTCCTCCCCTCTGCTTCTGTCATCAGGCCCCCGGGCCCTGGTCAGGGAGAGGAAGAAGGGTAGCAGTGGAGTCGGGGCTTCTTTTCAGGGCTGGGTTTTGTGTATCTTGGCCACTACAGCCCTTCTGGGGGCAGTGTTTGGAACCCCAGTTGCTAGTGTATGCCTACTTCGTGATGTAAGGACTGAACTGGGGTTGGGGGCTTGTTGTTGACTCTGTGGCCACACGGCCTTGTGGGCTGGAGCAAGTGGCTTCTGCTTTCTGACACTCTGCTCTGCCCAAAATGCTGCGTGGTGATGAGGCTCAGTCATAATATTAGCCTTTGTTTAGTCGCCGCTGAATACCAGACCTTGGTCCAGACCCCTCAACAACCCTGCGCAATGGTCTAAGGCATACCACTCTGTGTCTCTTATCCTGAAGCTTGCTTGTTCTCTCTCTGTCTCTCCCTCTGTGTTTCTCTCTCACTGTCTCCTTCTCTCTTTCTGTCTCTCTCTCTCTCCCTGTCTCCCTCTCTGTCTCTCTCTCTTTTGTTGTGGTAAAATATATATAACATAAAATTTACCATCTTAACCAATTTTAAGTGTACAGTTCAGTGGCATTCAGTACATTCACATTCTTGTGCAACCATCACCACCAGCCATCTCTTTTCACAGTGAAAATATTTAGAAAATGTATGCAGTATGATGATAATAATTTTTCTTTTATCAGTTCATAGTATAAAATAGCAAAGTATCTACACAGAAGCACAGGGTGTGTTCCAGGGCAGCTTTGATCTTTTTTCTGGTTTAAAAAAGCATCAGCAGCACCTCCATGGGTGGGACCTGAAGGCCACTTTGTGTTACCCTTGGGCCCTGGGAACCTGGGCCCCAGAAGGAGTCAAGAGGCACCCCCATGGCTGATGACTGCTGTAGTCACAGCGTTCCACCTCCGTCCATTCCTGCTTCCTTCTTACTCATTGTCGAAGGGACACTGGGGCTTTCCCACCTTATGTCCCAGCGATTGGGATCCTTCACAACTCTGGAAAAGCCACGTGGTCCTTCCTTCCTGTGCTTCTGCTAAGAGAGTCCCCCAGAGCAGAATCAGCTCCTGGGATAAGTTACAACACTAGAGCTCAGGGCTTTTTAAAGGCCCTGCTCTGAGAGGTGGGGCTGCTCCCGCTATTTATAGGGACAGGGAGATTCCTGTTCCCAGCCCCGAGTTCCCTGCAGAGAGCTGGGCCTGCTCACGCCGAGTCAGGCCACCGTGGTAGGTGGTCACCTCTGTGGCTCCCTCTCTCTCCTGCTTCCCCCTACTCCCTCACCCTTCCCCCATCCCCTGTGTGTCATCAGAGTTCTGAGAGGGAGCTCGCTCTAGAGTCTGCTTGAAGAAGCTGGGGCGAAGCAGAAAGCTGTTGCCAGTTCTTAGCGGGGAAATGAGGCCTTGGTCTTCTCCACCTCAGCTCGGTGCAGGGACTCATCCCCCCGGGAGGGGGGACCCCTCAGGCCCGCGGCCTATACCGCCGCCCCGGCTTCGCCGGGCTTCCAGCCGGAGGGACCCTCCTTATCCTAGGCCTGTGGAGCCAGCTCTGGAAATGGTTGGCTCCAAGTGTCAGCCTGGTACCCCCGCTGCCAGCCTCTGCCCAGCAGACTCCCCCAGCCAGCATCGGGTGATGCCACCAGGGCCTGCCAGCAGGTCACACGTAAGTGGCTTTTGTTTTCTTTCGGAGCCAGTGAGTGGTACTGAAAGGGCACGAAAATGGCCTCAGTAGCCACCCTGTTCTCTGCCCCCCTTGCCTTCCCTCCTCTCTCTCTCTCTCTCTCTCTCTGTCTCTCCCCCTCCCTTCCCCCCCTCCCTCCCCCCCCATCATGCTCTCACCCTCACTTTTGTGGGTTAATTGCTGACAGTGGTACTATTGTTTTGACTGAGACACAAGCACGAGCTTGGCAGAGCTAGGGCCTCACATGCCAGCTGCCCCCACTGCGGCCCTCCCCTCTCTGCACCTCATCCATGCTCACCCAGGGGAGCAAGGCTCACGAGGGAGGATCACTCAGAGAAAACAATCTGGATATTTCAACGAGGAGCTCAGTTGCTGCCGTCCGCCCTGAGAGACCGGGAGGACGTGAGAACAGCCAGTGGGAGGATGAGAGATGAGGTGTTGTTGTGTGCACAGACCCGAGCTTGGCTCCCCGGAAGCAGCTGCTGGTACAGGCTGTTTTTACCGGATGCAGGCCAGTGCTCCAGTCGAGCTGCAGCTTCATTCCCTTGGGGTGGCCTCCCTGTGGCTCTGGGCAGGCCTGTCAGGCAGAAACCTGTCATGCACTAGCTCCCCGCTACTTCCTCCTTCCTAGGTTGGGCTGCAGGCCTTGTGTGAGGGCTTCTTTAGAACTCCTCATGGGTGACGGAAAGCAGCTCTGTGATGGGAGACGGTTTGAGGTCTTGTCTGAGAGAATGCCCACCACCACACACATGTTCCCAGATAGGAGGTGGGGCCCAGGCAGGCTCCCTGGTGTTCCAGCTGTTCAAAACCAGAAGACTCGTGATCCGGGAGGAGCTAAGCCTTCCACCAGGTTCTCTCCTGCCAGAAAGCTACTTCGACACTTTCTTCCTCATCTAGCTTTGACTGAGGAGGCACGCGTGTCTGAGCCATTGCCTCCATCTAAGGGCCCTCAGGCTCTCTGCTTTGGGTCCCTGGGGCTTGCTGTGGGTGTTAAAGCATTTGCTCAGGGCCCAGCTTCCCTGGGGACTGTTTGGGCAGCCCACTTGCCCTGGCCTCAGTGCGGGGTGGGATGGGGGTGAGGAAGAGCTGCCTGCCCAGCTCCATGCCAGGCCTCTGGGAGCACCCACCAGAAAGCCGGCCCGGCGGCCCAGCACCGCTGTGCACTGCCCAGCCTGCCGCACTAGCTTGTTAGGTGACACTCCCCCTCGGAGGGAGATGTGGCCACACTCCTGTCCGTCCCACCCGGGCTTCCAGGCTCAGCCAAGGCTCCAAGCCCTCCTTTTCCACTTGGGTCTCCGTCTCCTAGGACAGCAGATAAATATATTCCTGTATTTTCCATAGTTTCTTATGGCCCTTTCACTGAATGTTGAATGCCTAGAAAGTCTTTCCTCGCAGAACTTGAGAGTTTAGGTCTGGGAGCAGCCTGTGGGAAGGGGATGCCACGAGAGAAGAGGCACTGAGTCAGCTGCTCTTCTCTTAAAGGTGGGCTCCCGGCCCCACGCCGTCGCCAATGGCCATGAGTTGTTTGAGGTCTCAGAGGAGAGAGATGAGGAAGTTGCTGCATTTTGCCACATGCTGGATATGTAAGAGTTAAAGAATGATAGGGGGTGGGAGCATTGTGGGGGCTGGGGAGGAGGGTCACCCCTTCCAGAACTTTCTCTGGAAAGGAAGAAGAGCCATATTTAATAAATCTGAATTCATAGCTATGGGATGCTTCCTACAACAGGTGTTTGCTGGCTTTTTGAAATCTTAGAAGTTTCACATTTTTGACAAAATTTATGAAACCTCCATCTAACAAATTATCCCAATCACTTCAGGCTCAGTTGCCCTCAGGAACAAATGCACCCTAGATGGAGATAAGAGTGTTATCTGGAGCTAAAAGAGAAAGGAAATGGATTCAGAAACATTTCCTGTTGAACTTAGCCTGAAAAGCTTCATCCTTTTAGAACGATCTCTGCTGTCCAGCTCAACTGGGAAACATTTTGCAGCTGTAGCAAGTGTGTCAAGACACGGTTTTCCCAAGCTGCTTCCCCATGCCCCATCCTGGCCTGCAGACTTGGAGGGCTGGGCTGAGTGGGGACAGAGGGGCCCTGGGGCTTCAGGGCGGGGGAGGGTCCTAGCAGGCCTCTTCTCACTGCTCTCTTCTGAAGGCACAGCGAGGGCCCTTCTCCCTCTCTTCCTGCACAGCCTCCGATCTGGCTCTGACGTCCGAGACTACTCCCTCACTGGATATGTCTGGAGTGCTGTCACTCCAAGCCCAGAGCATCTTGGGGATGAGGTCAACCTGAAGGTGACCGTGTTGTGTGACAGCCTGCGGGAGCCACTCACTTTTACCTGCAACTGTAAGTCAGTGGGGGGTGAGCATCCCTCGAGGTCCGGGCCGGGATGCTGTATCTTGGATTGTAGGATCTTTTGGTCTTGATTCCCACCCCACCTCGCGGGCCAGATGAGGAGCAGTGGTGAAGCCCCTTTGGGGGACTGGCTCTGGGGCCAGCTTTTTAGATCCACAGTCACTTTCCATAACCCCAAAACTGTGTGTGTGCCTGCTTTATCTGGTTGGTGATGGGGCTAGAGGATGCTTAGCTGGGAATGGGGGATCAAGGTGGGCATGCTGAGCCTCGCCTGCCCCAGCACCCCCCATCATTGCTTCCCCTGCCCACCCCTTACAGGTTCCTCCACTGTTGACTTGCTCATCTACCAGACCCTGTGCTACACCCATGACGAGCTGAAGGATGTGGACGTGGGTGACTTTGTGCTAAAGCCCTGTGGGCTGGAGGAGTTCCTGCAGAAGTGAGTGAACCGGTGGTGGAGACAGCGGGGTAGGAGGTAGCACCTGCCTTCTGGGTAGTAGGAATTTGAGGGGGCTTCCTAGGGGTGCTGCTGCGGCCCAGGCTGAAGCTAGCAGTTCCACCCCAATCCCACAGTCCTGCTTTCTGGGCACACTCGCAGCCACGTCGCACTTTCCCCAGGAGCTCCATCTTCCAGCGGGGTTGGCCCGCTTTCTGAGCCAAACCTGCTGTGGAAAGAGCTTGGAGATGGGATTAGGCAAAGAATAGGTCCTGTCTGCTTGCAGACTTCTGCATGTGGAGAGATGTGTGTAAGGGGGTGAGGGGACTGTGTGGGGTGGTTTCTCCTGCGCTAGATTATGTGTGGTATCGTTATGGCCAGGGGCAGGAGGACTGGGCAGAAGTGCCCTTGTGAACCTGGGGGAGAAATCACGGTTGCTCTCTCCTCCCCCTTCCCCTGCCAACAAGCCTTTCCCTGCTGGCATGAGCAGCTGGTTAACTTCCTCTCCATCCAGCGCCCTCTGCAGTACGCAGCCTCAGCAGAAAGTCTGATGTGGACCAGCTGCTGCAATCTCCTTCCACTGCCCTGAGGCTCTGGGGTGCTGAGGGGAGGGAGGATCGCACCCCTCGGGTGGTACAGCTGGGTGCAGGCTGTGGAATCAGCCAGAGGGCAGCAGATAGGGAAATAAAGAGATCTGCTTCTTCCCCCAAGCTTCCTGTTGCCTATGCCCACTACCCTGGCTACTTGGAGAAAGCAGGCTGCCAAGAGGGGACGGCGAGGCCTACATCTCGGTTCGTAGGAGTGCCTGACAAGTGCAGCCACGTGCTTTTTCTCTTACATCCAGGTCCAGATGCAAGGACGGTTGATCTATGGCTAGAGCAGTTCTTGGCTGGTTTCTTTAACCTTCAGGACATTGTGGGCCCTTCCTAGCCTCTGTGCCCTCAACTCTAGGAGCGCTACTCAGATGTGTTCCGTGCATCTCGCTTTCCCCTGGAGGAATGAGAAGGGGTCTTAGACTCAGGGTCTCGCGGCAGAGAGCGCCCTGGGCAGCCTGCCACTGTCGTGAGGGAGCAAGGGCATAGTGGGTCACAGCAATATGGCTGGTTTGGGTTGTGTCTTGCCACCTACTACTTGTGAAACCCTGACCCTCAGTTTCTTCTGTAAAATGTAGTGAGGATTAAATGTGAGAATGACCCAATGAGCAATCAATCCATATTAGTAGGGTAGGACCGGTCCAAAGAGAGGAACGCATGGGGATCCAGCTCAGATGGATACTGCCATTTCCCTCGCAGCTACCCTAAGTCACTGGGCCCCGAATCCAGAGGTGATAGACAAGCTGTCAGGTCCCCACTTCCTGCCCAGACCAGGTGGAGTGTTCAGGGTGCAGGGGACAGGATCAACGGTCCTGGGGCATGCCTCTCCCACTCTTCCTTGCACACACATAGGCAGGCCTTCCACAGAGGAGGTCAGGCAAGTCCCCAAGGAGCTGTGTCCCTGACTCAGTCTAGGAGCCCCCATCTCGTGCCCCCCCTGAGGCTCTTCTCTTCCCACCCACCCAACAGAAAAGCCTAGATCCCTGAGCACAAGGCTGCTGCCTTGGAGTGAGGGTGGAAAGGACCCTCTGGGGGTTCCAGAAAGCTGCTCGCTCCCAAGGAAGCCCTGTGGTTTCCTCCCCTAGCCCAGCAGGAGGGGCCGATGCTGAGGGGGCGTGGTGGGTCCAGGATGCAGGCTGCTCTCGATAAGGACCTTGAGACAGTCCCAGGGGAGGGCTGGGTTTCCTGCCACCTCCCCCAACCCTCCACACTCTTCCTTCCTCCCAGGCACTCCCACCAGGCCCACCCCATATTCTAGCCTCTCCACCCCCCAGGTTTTGGCTGCAGCTCAGTCTTAGCAGATGGGGGCCTAGATCAGAGGCTTGGCATCTCAGGATGTGGAGAACCCCCTTAAAGCCTACCGGGACCTGGACTGGCCTGGGACCTGGGTACCTCTGTTGGCTTCTGCACATACCCCTTCCCTTCCCTTCACTCCTCTCCTCTCCCCTCCATTTCTAGCCTAGATTCCCAGCTCTGCTGAGGAAGGAAGTCCCTTTCCGGCTTCTGTTACCCAGCTGCTGGGACCCAGCCCAGGCCTGCAAGGCTGGCCTGGAGGAGGGGCTCACTCTGCCCTTCTCCTGTGTTTCCTCTCTGACTAAGGTGCTATTTGGGAGGGAGGAAGAGGCTGGATCACAGAGGGACTCCCTAGGTCTCCTTCTCCAAAACTGGGGTGGGGGGACCTCATGTGTTGGCGCTGAACAGCGGGAATAGCATGCAGGTGGGGGTTGTCAGGAGTCTGTGGAGGGTTTATATGGTCATCCACAGTCAGGGAGAGGAGAAGAGAACTGGGATGGGCTTGGGGATAACAGAGCTGGAATCTTGTGGGTTTAGGGCTTTGACGCTTTGCTTGACCTCAGCACCCAGTTGGTAACGGTGAAGGTGGAAGACGTAGGACCCCAGTGGGAGAGTGTCACTCCTGAGCCCCACGCCCGAGCTTGAGTGAAGGCTGACTTCCAACGTGTCCCATACACCACAGCCAAGAATGGACTTTAAACACTGCCCCGGAGAAGTCCCTCTGTTCCCCACACCCTCCAGAAATTCCCTCCCCTGGGGTGAACCAGTGATAATGACACAGGTAATAGATACCTAGGAAAGTCGATGTTTGGACAGACCAACAGTGAAATGTACTAGGTGGCTTTTGTTTTTTTTTTGTGAGGAAGATAAGCCCTGAGCTAACATCCATGCCAATTCTCCTCTTTTTGCTGAGGAAGAATGGCCCTGGGCTAACATCTGTGCCTATCTTCCTCTACTTTATGTGGGACACCGCCACAGCATGGCCTGACAAGCGGTGCATCGGTGCGCGCCCGGGATCCGAACCTGGGCCGCCAGCAGTGGAGCGGGCACACTTAACTGCTACGCCACGGGGCCGGCCCCTAGGTGGCTTTTCTTTAGACAGATCTCTGTTCTTCCCTTATGCTCTACCATGACATTTTCCAGAAGCCAAGGTGGGGGAGCTCAGTGCAGGTACCCTGTGTCACCCCCTCGCCCCGTCCTCCTGTCTCTCTCCGCCCAAGCTCAGGTATGCAGCCCCTTCCCACATTAGTCCCAAGGATGCTAATGCTGTTGTCCTTCCACCCCACCAGCAAGCATGCCCTCGGCAGCCATGAGTACATTCAGTACTGCCGCAAGTTTGACATCGACATTCGGCTACAGCTGATGGAGCAGAAAGCTGTCCGCAGTGACCTGGCCCGGACGGTTCGTGTCGGGGGAGGTTAATGGCTGCACGGGGATGGGAGTGTGGAGTGGGCAGAGGGTGATGTAGAATACTTATTCAATGGGATAGGGTAGGAGTGCTGGGCTGAGACAAAGGCACACCTCTCTCTAAATAGGGTACTTCTTACACAGGTGAATGATGACCAGAGCCCCTCTACCTTGAACTACCTCATCCATCTGCAAGAGAGGCCAGTCAAACAGACCATCAGCAGGTGAGAGTGGGTGCCATCTTGGATATAGGCCAAGCAGGAACTGTATGCAGACCCCACAGATACCCTGGCTGGCCTTTGTGCCAGGGCCCCAGGAGTCTTACAGGTGTTGGGGGTGGGGGTCCACGAGTCTTACGGGGAAGATCCCCACTCCCGGGCATGTTCTCTCTCTTCCCTCTAGTACTTTGCCATCCTTCTCCAAGTGAGAGGTGGTGAAGTAGAAAGGACTCACCCCCTTCATGGGACATATGGAAAGAGTGGGACCCCCTTTAAACCAGAGCCTGATTCCTGAGCTGTGGAGAGGGAGTGAGAGAATGGGTCTCCCAGTACACTGGGTCTGTCCTGACTTCTCCTATGACTTTTCCCTGTCCCCACCTCCCCAGGCAGGCCCTAAGTCTCCTGTTCGACACTTACCACAATGAGGTGGATGCCTTCCTGCTGGCAGATGTGAGTACAAATCCCTGGGCTGGCCCAGCTGCCCTGAGCTCTGCCCGCCCTCTCCCCCAGTCCTCCTGGGATCAGCCAGCCCTAAAGGGATTGGAGTAAAGACACTGAAAATCTATCAGCAGAGCACTTATTTTCATTCCCCTAGCTCATGGGTGAACCAAGACTGCTGACTGTTGGGCAGCTGGCAAGTGTGTAGAGAGGGGTTCTGCTCCTCTGTAGAAGTAGGGTAGGAACTGTGCCCTGATCTTTGTCTCTGGAGTAGAGTGTCTCCAAAGCTAGGGGATGTAGCGTTGTCGCCCCAGCTGCTGTACTTGAGAGTGCATTGGGGTGTGCACCCTGTGAGAGATGCCCAGGAACTGCTGGTTTGAGAGGTTCTGATGTGCTCGGGTCACAGGTGGAAAACCGTCAGAAAGTGGCGAGTCTCGAATGTGGAGAGGGGCCAGGATTCATGTGGACTTTAAAGGCTTAAAATCATGAGAATAAACATTTGCCCCAAATGTCATCAAGCTAAGGAAAATCAGACAGTGATCTTTAGGAGGAATCCCTGTCTCATTGATCCAGTTCATAGTGGTCATGGACTCTTCCCTTTGGGGAGTTCTGCATTAAATTTCAAGTTCAACCCTCTACCACTGCCAGAATCCCCTCGAGTGGCCTCCGCTCAAACATTTACAGTGACAAGGGGCACTTCTGAACACCTCTTCTGCGCTAGTCTGGCCCTATGTCAGTGGCTGCTGTGGGTAGAGCGGCATGAGGATTGTCTTAGCCTCAGGGAGCTTGTGTTCCTGCTAGAAAAATGGCTTCATAAAGCTATTAGTAGGCAGAACAGGGTGGTAATGAGTTAATCGAGCGCTCTGGGAGAGGGAGAGGGACAGATGGCCGGGAAGGCTGTGGGAAGGATGTTGGATTTTAGCTGGTCCATGATTTGAATTTATAGAGGTAATCAGGGCAGGGCAGGTGAGGGAATTCCAAATGGGAAGACTCCAGGGACCAGTGTGCGGAGGAGAGCGGATGGTGCGGCCGTGCCTGGAACTGAGATAAGCTTCGTCTGGAAACTGGGTGGAAGCAGGAGAAGTAAGCCTGCGAGGGCAAGTGGAGTCCCAGGGTGGTCTCTGGCCTCCTTGTTGTTCCCTGTGGATTGATTTTCCTAACACCGCCTGTCTCTAGGGAGACCTGTGTCTGTGTAGTAGGAGCAGACTGGCTGGGAAGGGAGGCTGAGGATAAGGGGCAGGTCAGGGAGGATGGCTGGAGCTGGAAGAATTGGGGAATGTGGGCAGGGCCCGCTTAATTCAATAGGAGCGATTGTTTGCTGGGGCTGGATGTTGAAAATCAAGCATGGATTCCACTAGTTACTCCTGAGGGTCACGAGCCCCTACTCCTCCCAACCAGTTCTTTCAACACTGTGGGCACTGGGAGCCGAGAGCGCTAGCCTGCCGGCCTCACTGTGCTGCCTCCCGCAGGGGGACTTCCCGCTGAAGGCTGACAGGGTGGTCCAGTCTGTCAAGGCCATCTGCAACGCCCTAGCCGCCGTGGAAACTCCCGAGATCACCAGTGCTCTCAACCAGCTGCCCCCCTGCCCTTCCCGCATGCAGCCTAAGATTCAGAAGGTAACGGGCAGGGCCGAGGACTAGCCTGGGGAAGGAGGAGACGAATATTCACAGGTGACCGAATGAGTTACCTCTGACTAGATGTCCACTCACTAAAAGGCTCTTCTCTCGGCCTCCATCTTTTATGTGTGAAGAGTTTAACCACAAGAGTTCTTGGGAAATGGGTGCCAAGTGTGGCCCCTCTTCCTGAGAATGAGGATGGGCTGGGGTCTGCCCCTTGGGACTAATTGCTGGGAGCTCAGGCCAGCAAGGCTTTATTGACAGTCGCTGAGGCAATGCCTGGCAGTTTGCATGTCCAGCAGAGGGCAAAACCAAAATCTCCCCCGAGCCAGGGGCTCCGGGACTCCACAGTGGGGGCTGTGTGCTGTGCAGACAGGGCCAGCACGATGGGCGCTGTGGTCTGTAGTGGAGAGGCCTGAGGCTTGGCGTGTCTCATTTGGGTGGACACGATGATTTTATCCTCGGTCTGCCTCACTCTGTCCGCCACACGGATCTGGTAAAAACCATTCCTCTATCCTCCCTGGGGGATCTCTGCTCCTCAAATTTCAGCCCTTTCTGGACCAGATGAGCACAGCTGTGAAAAGCCCTTCTTCCAGCTCTGACAGAAAAGGCCGTGGCCCTGATGCTCCCCTCCCTCTCCTTTTTCCCCACAGGATCCCACTGTCTTGGCTGTGAGGGAAAACCGAGGTAAGGGAACTGCTCTCCATCTTTATCTAGTAGGGGCAGCTGAGGACTGTGGGCTCTGCCCCCATTCCTTTTTCTCCCTGGCCTCCTTGATTTATGGGTGCATGTCTGCCTGTGTGTGTGTGTGTGTGTGTTTTCCTATAGGAGGTGTGGACACAGCTGGAGAGCACATTTCTTTCCACAAAATGTTTTCTCGTTATTTTTACTGGTTATTCCTGTGGTGCCCCTGGGAGATGGTGATGTGGTGGTAGAAGGGGGCGGGGGCGTGGGTAGTGAGGCAAAGTGAGCCCTGGGTTCCAGATGGGAAAACTCTCACTTGGGGAGGCTATGATTATTCTCCAGATGGCTCATAACCCCTGTGTTTCCAATTTAGGATGGGTCTGGGGAGAAGCTGATAAAGAATTTTTCACTAGGATTCCCCCTTGAGGCTTTCAAGCAGAACTTGGCCCTACAAAGCCCATATTTCTGGGATTCTTGGTCATTGAGTCCCAGTCTTTTGGATTTCATGGACCAAGAAAATGTCCCCAAAAGTATTATTTTGGGGACCAACATAGAAATTGTCAGCTTTTATTTTGCCAAGCAATGATTTTTTTAAAGTGACAATTATTATTCCCACTATTTCCAAAAAGAAAAGACATTTAAATGTCTTTATTTAGTGTTAACACTAAATAAGAAGCAATACATAAAAATAAGGACAACGTTTAAAATTGACAATCTACCATTTTATGAGAAGCTCATGACACGCTCCTGCTTTTTTCTCATTTTACCACTTTACATTTACATTTAATGGTGAACTCTGCTCCAGCTATGAGAAACCGACTGGCATTTGGGGACTGCTGTCCTAGGTGTCCCATCCTGGTCAGTGCCATGGCAACAAGACGGCGCTTGTTGAGGCCTCACAACTTTTCCTCCTGACCACTTCCTTTCACAGAGAAGGTCGTGGAAGCCCTGACGGCTGCCATCTTGGACTTGGTGGAGCTGTACTGCAACACGTTCAACGCAGACTTCCAGACAGCGGTGCATGGGAGCCGCAAGCATGATCTCATCCAGGAGGCCTGCCATTTCTCCAGGCCCCTGGCCTTCACTGTCTGTGCCGCCCACCGCATCCCCATCACCTGGGCTACCAGGTGAGCCCAGGGCTGAATGGCCTCTAGGGAGTGAGCTGCGTTTGACTTCCAGATGGCTTTGCCTGTGCGCATGTGACCTCACTGTCCTAAGTTTAGGATCTGTGGCATTGTGGTGCACAGAGGCTGAGGGGGTGAGCCAAGTGCTTGAGGGGAACGTGGGCTGAGACATCCCAGAGAGAGAGGGTCCTCTAGGAGGTGAGAAGAGGCAGCAGCGGTCAGTCCTGCCTTCCCTCTCAGTGCTGGCTCCATCGGCATCCCTGCCCCCTCCCATCCAAGGCCAGCTGATGGAGACATGGCGACAGATGGTGGCTTCCCAGATCGAGTGCCTGCCCCACGGCCAGTGACTGCACTCCCCTGCAGACGCACAACAGGAGGGGGCGGGGAGGTGGGAGATGACCCTTTGTCTGGAGTCCTGAAGCATGCAGGGGTGGGCGGAGGGGGACGTTCATTTGGTAATCCCCGGCTCCTCTGCAGGGTTCTGCAGGGTCCCGGCATGCGGCATCTAAGGCCTGCGGGAGCAGGCATGCGGCTCCACCCCCTCGCCTTCCGGACCCCCTCCCCCTCCCTTCCTCTCCCTCTTTGTTCCTCACTTAATGTATTCCTCTGGGCAATTGGCAGAGAACAAAGGAGGCAGCCTGGGAAACCAGGGCCTTCTCTGACCTCTCTGTCAGGCACCTGTCACGAGCCACAGGGACCCCAATGTGTTGGCATTCGTGTCGGCATATGTCGTTTTCCTCCCCCACCCGTCTCACCTGCGCATGCGCTTGCGCGTCCGGCGCCCGATGGGCTGGAGCTGACTGCGAGGAGGCGGCTGCGTGGCTGGTTTCCGATAAGGAAGGAGGAAGAGCTGTGGGCCCAGCATGGAGCCTGAAACTGGGCAGAGGGATCCAGATTGAATTGCTTCCCCCGGAGCACACTTATGCAAATCCAATTTGGCTGTCCTGTCCGGTGACCCCATATTACGGTGCCCGGAGACCAGAGGAGTTTTTCCAGGGGAAATGGAGTTTGGCATAGGTTGGGTGACTGGGATGAGGTTTGGGAGCTGAGTGTCCTGACCTGCCCCCTTTCTCTTGTAGCTATGAAGATTTCTACCTCTCCTGCTCCCTCAGCCATGGCGGCAAGGAGCTCTGCAGCCCGCAGCAGACCGGAAGGGCTCACTTCTCCAAGTACCTCTTCCACCTCATCATCTGGGACCAGCAGTAAGCCCTCCCCCAGGCTCCAGTGCCTGGCCGCTGCAGATCCCCCCACACTCCGACTAGGGGCACAGCCGGGCTTAAACCAGCCTCCCTCACTAACCCTAACCAGATAAGTCATTCAGCCTCTCCAGTCTCCACTTCCCTAACTCGTAAATGGGGACAAGTATGATTTCTACCTCTCAAGTTGTTCTGAGGCTCCAATGAGATGTATTCGTAAAGGCTCATTGTAAACCGTAAGGGCCACATAAATGTTAGTTGTTAGTTTTAATAATAATTCGTTGTTTTGATCTTGTCTCCCTTAAAAGGTTTAACTAGTGTGAGGGATTCTCATCCTCTCCCTTCTTACCAGAGTTTCTATAGAATAGGGAGAGAGGGCTGTGTTTTCTTCTGTGCAGATGGAGGAGGGAAGGGTGTCCAGAGGAAAGGCAATGGGCTTGGAGCCACAGGAGAGGGGTTTCTCAGGCAGGGAGGAGGTTCAGGGCTGCAGCCAATGTTCTGGTTATCCTGACAGACCCTGGCTGAAGGTCCATGGGGGAGGTTTTGGAATGCCAGATATACTCGAGGACTGGGGAGAAGCGGGCCTTGGCTGGTTCTAAGGGTTATGGTTGCAGTTAGAAAGTACTCGCCTTTTCCTCCAGATGTGAAGCTAGAAGCCCCTTCTTGGGTGAAAAGAAAGAGGTCAGGACCAGCTCCATCTCCTGTCTGCTCCAGGGTCAGCTGATTCTCGCTCACTGCAGCAGTGCAGGGATCAGCTAACTCTCAAAATAGGCCCAGCAGCCGCACTCTGCCACCTCTAGCCAAGCCTCGGCCAGCCGGCATGTCTGCTGGCTGCTGGCGGGGCCCTAATTATAGCTGCAGGCCCCCCAGGGTAGCGGCAGCTGGGATAGAGGCAGGCTCTGCCAGTCTGTGGCAGGAGGGAGGAAGTGCCTCACTTAGGTGGCGATTTCCCTGGAGGAGTGAGGGGCAGCTGCTTTATCATGAAACTGCTAACCTTGGGGGTGGCCGCCCTCCCTCTGTGCCCTCTGGCATAGAAGCTGCTGGCCCTGGGCTGGGCAGGAGGGTGTGACAGTGTGGACTTTGGCCCAGGGACAGCTTCCCTGAAAGGTAATGTGGGTCCTCCCTCTCTTTCCACAGCTCCCCTCCCCTCTCTACCTCACCGCACCCCAGCTCCTTATCCTGAACTTGGAGGGAGTGGCTTGGTGTGGTTCACACAGAGGAGAGAACATCTGGGCTTGGGTAGCGGCAAGACTTACGGGTCTCAGTGCTTTTGGCCCTGCTGGTCTGCTTTCTCTCCCCCCTCCCCTGGGGACTTTAGAAAGCCCCTTCTTTTTATCCCTTTGGCTTTGAGAATATTTCAGGGTGAGAACCAACCATCTTGTGCCCCAGGGGTTAGGACAAGGGGCCGGGAGAGGACAGACAGGTGGGAGGACCGTGGGGCGGTGTCCACCGACCATGCCGGGGGTTCCTGGCAGAGAACGTGCCACTGCTGCTTCCTGGTTGCTTTCAGCGGCAGGAAGTTGGGGAGGGGTGGGGATTGTTCCATGGAAAAGGATTGTCAAAAAGAGCAGCTTCAGGGCCAGCCCCGTGGCTTGGTGGTTAAGTGAGCGCGCTCCACTGCTGGCGACCCGGGTTCGGATCCCGGGCTCGCACCGACGCGCTGCTTCTCCGGCCATGCTGAGGCCGCGTCCCACATACAGCAACTAGAAGGATGTGCAGCTATGACACACAACTATCTACTGGGGCTTTGGGGGGGAAAAATAAATAAATAAAATCTTAAAAAAAAAAAAAAAAAAAAGAGCAGCTTCTTGGTAACCTTCTGCAGAAATCCTAAAACAAGGGAAGGCACATGGCTTACAGTATGGGGCACGTAGTCACCCAAACGCCAGGACGGCTCTGGCAGCGAGTTCTGCCAGGTCACCACGGGTAGCCTCAGAATCGGAGTGTTTGCCTCACTCGACTGAGAGGCTGCAAAAACACCATCCTGTGCTTCTGGGAGCACCCAGTGGAGTTTGCCTACAGTTTGGGACCTGTCTTGGTTCTGCAGGAAGGCTTCCACAGGGAGCACGTCTGATATCCTGAGGGGGAGGTCAAGTTCTCAGCCTCCAGTTGACTTCTTGGGCTACCTGTCCCTTGAAGCCACAAGGGCCACACCTCCTGATTTGATTTCCTGTCCTCCCTAGGATCTGCTTCCCTGTGCAGGTGAACTGGCTGCCTCGGGAGACCCTGCTGTGTGCCACTCTCTGTGCAGTGCCTGTCCCCCCACCTGGCAGCTCCTCGGAGACCAATAAGCAGCGGCGGGTGCCTGAAGCCCTGGGCTGGGTCACTACCCCACTCTTCAACTTCAGGCAGTACGTGGGCCCCAGGGCGGCAGCTTCTTGGCCCTGGAAGGGAAGGAGGGGGCTAGAGGGGCTTGGCTGCTGTACTGGTTAGTGTCCCTCCGGAGGGTTGGCCATGTGGGGCTCATCAACAGAGTCCAGAGGGTGCCAGCCCTGGTAGAGGGGACCAAGGCACGGGACGAGAGACCAGGATGATTGATGTAACCAGCAACTACTGGGCAGGACTGGTGGCACAGGCTTGTTGGCGAGGAGCATGGGAATGCAATGCGTGGGTAACATGCCCTCTGCTCTTGTCATTGGGAGGACCTTGAGGTCACCTGGTCCAGCTCTCTACCTCATGAAGGCATCCCTGCTACCAGGTCATCCAGACCAGAGTGTGGTTAGCTCAGAAAGTCTTCCTGGAGGGGGCGGGCTTTTACAGGACTTGGAAGAAGGAACAGGCCATGGTCTAAGGGGAGAATGAGAGAGAGAGGAGCTAGGGGCTGGCTTCGAACAGAAAAGGCAGATTTTTGGACGGGGGAGCAGGAGGAAAGCCATCTCCTTAGCCATTGGGTTTGTTGGCTCATTCCACCTTCCATGCTTCTTAGAGTCCTGACCTGTGGCCGGAAGCTTCTGGGCTTATGGCCAGCAACACAGGAAAACCCCAGTGCCCGTTGGAGTGCGCCTAACTTCCACCAGCCGGATAGCGTCATCCTGCAGGTAAGACCCCAACCCACCCATCAAGACCACTCTGGAGTCAGCTCCAAGTCTCCCCTGAGGTTTGGGCTGGGACTTTGGGCATGGAATGATGATGTGACTGAAGCAACAGGTTGAATATGGTTACACCTGGAGTGGGAGGGCGAATTCTGTGGAATCTACGTCCCATCTGCTGGAGGCGAACTTGGATTTCAGGGAGCCTGAAGCAATGTCTGAGACCTTCCGCATCCAGGGCCCAGCTCCTCGGAGTCCCTTGTATTGAACTCTCATTACTAAGGCTGATAAAATCTGAGCCGTGCCCTCTAGGGGCCAAGGGGAAGCCTTCCTGTAGCCAGTCACTCCGTGCTGTAGCGGGCTGGACCCATTCTCTGGGGAGAGGAGGAGGAGCTGCTCAGTCCAAGGTCTAGTTACAGGTTTCTGGCTCCTGTTTCTTGTGGCTATGAAATGCTTTGGTGTGGAATATGGAATGTCAAAGTGGATACAGAATGAAATGGAATGATATAGAATGAAAGCTCCGAGAGGCAGACATTTTTATGGGTCTTATTTACTCCACTATGCCCAGGCCTAGAACAGTGCTTCGTACACATTAGGGTTCAGTAAACATTTGCCGAATGAGGGAACATGGAACTCCTTTTGAGGACTGGCTTACTCAGCTCTGATACCCATTTTAGGAGGGTGCCCACCTGGCAGCCTAGAGCTAGGGGACCGAGTATCGCAGGCTTCAGAGTTGGTAGGCCCTCCCTGGCGTGTGGCCCCACCTCCCTTCAGGCAGCAGTGCCCCCCAGGACCGCACTGGAGGCTCCCAGTGGCTCCGCCTGGTGACACTTCTGTTGAGTCCTGGCCTGCGGCCATCTGCTCACCCGGGCACGTCTTCACCCAACTCCTCCTCTCTTGCCCACTTTTTTCTCTCTCTCTTTTTTCCCTTCTCATCTTTTGCTCGAAGTTACAGCTGGAAGGGACTTTAGCGATCACTGAGTCCAACTGGGTTATTTTACAGACAAAGAACCCAGTGAGGGGGAGGGAGGGGAGCAGGGAAAAAGGCAGGAACGCTGGCATGTGACAGAGAAGCTGGAGGCCCAGTTGGTGGCAGCCATCACTCACCTGCCTGTTCTCTCTCCTGGCTTCTCTGACACCGTCCCCCAGATTGACTTCCCCACCTCGGCCTTCGACATCAAGTTCACCAGCCCCGCTGGAGACAAATTCAGCCCCCGCTATGAGTTTGGCAGCCTCCGGGAGGAAGACCAGCGCGTGCTTAAAAACATCATGCGGAAGGAGTCCCTGTACTGGTGAGGCCTGGGGCATCCCCTAGGTGTGGCTTAGACCCCCACTAAGTCTGTCGCATTCTATCTGACCTTCTCTTACCTGCCAGGTCCAGGTCCCTGGCCTCCTGCTTTGGGAGTAGAGGTGGGATGGGGTGGGCATTGCCACCTAGGCAGGACGTGGTGGAGAGAGGGCTCTGCTGAGGATAGCCCCCAGGCCTTTTTTCTTGAGCTGACACTAGGCCAAGTGGAGAGGTCAGGCTCGGGATTAGATCTGGGAATGCCTCTCCCTTCACTGGGGACTTGGCCCAGACTTGGCTTGCCAGGAGGACCAGAGCTTTGCCCCACACCCCAGACAAGCTGTCTACTACTTACTGTCCACTGGGGCAGCTGGCTGCCATCCTCACCACCCTGCCCCCACCTCTTGCCCCTTCCACACCCACAGCTTTTGCATTTCTTTGGCCCTGTCACTTTCCAAAAGGGGTCAGGCAAGCTGGCAGCTCTCAGGGGTAAGCAAGTCCAAGCTGATCTCACCCTTGGCTGCTTCCTCACCAGGACTGGAGAAGGGTGGGTGAGGAACTGGGAGCTGGCGGAGCTGGTGGGCTCTGGGCTCCTCCCTGCCTGCTCTCTTTGTGTACCTCTCTGGCTCCTGCAGGGCCCTGCGCATGTGGTAGGTGGGGGAAACGAGAGACAGGGCTCATGTCTCCATCATGTCCCACCCAGGGCAGCCAGAGTAGCTGAGTGACTGCAGACCTCCCCTGCCCCGGCTCCTCTGCTGACCGCTTGCTTCATTAGCCTCTCAGCTCCCTTCTCCTATTAGACGCCTGATCTCAGGCAAGACCCAATTAGCTGCAGGTCTTTTAAAACCTCCAGCTGGCCCCAGGAAGCCCCAGGAGGTCTCAGCTGCCCAGACCCTGACCTGTGAGGACCACTGCCCTCTGGTGGCTCTACTTGGGAGTGGTGCCCTAAGGGCATCCTCAGGAAGGGTAGTGAATTTGTGCCCTTGGCCCCAGCATTCTGCCTTGGTCTGCGATGTCCCTGAGTCAGGACTGAAGATGAGGTTTGGGCCCTGGTTTCGAAACTTTGCTTCACACATCGCAGTCGTCTAGGGATCTTTTAAAAATGCCGATGACTGGCTTCCCCAGACACTCTGACTTAATTGGTACTGGATGTGGCCTGGGCAAGGGGATTTTACACAGCTCCTCAGGGGACTGTACTGTGCAGCCGAGTTTGGGAACTATTGGTTTGGAGAGAGAGTAGCCTTCTCTTGGACAGCAGGTACCCTGTTCTCTGGCTGACTACTCTCTCTCACCTCCCCCCACACCGGCAGGCTCACTGATGCTGACAAGAAGCGCCTGTGGGAGAAGCGCTATTATTGCCACTCGGAGGTGAGCTCGCTCCCCCTGGTGCTCGCCAGCGCCCCCAGCTGGGAGTGGGCGTGCCTGCCCGACACCTATGCCCTCCTGAAGCAGTGGACGCACATGAACCACCAGGATGCCCTGGGGCTCCTGCATGCCACGTGAGTTGTGACACCACCGGTCCGGTCCCCCCGGAAGCCGGGCTGGCACTGCCTTCACTGACCTGAGCCCGCCATGGGGAGCCTGGTCAAGGGGGCTTGGAAAGGCAGAGCTTTTCTACTTCTCCTTGTTTGCTCTTGCTTTTTCTCCTTTTCCCCCAACATTATATAGTGAACATCCATGTACCCACCACCTAGATTCTGCCTATTACATTTGCTGTCTTGCTCTGTCACGTGTCCACCTACCACCCAGCTTCCTTGTATGCATTTTGAAGTAAATTGCAGACAGCATAACTCCCTCCTAAACGCTTTCGCCTGCACATCTTTAACTAGAGCTCAATGTTTGTTTACGTTTTTTTCTTTTGGGGCAAAACTTGCATAGCAGGGAATGCCAAGCCTTCTCGTACTGTGTTGACTGTTGACAGGTGCACACACCCGTGTGACCCAGACCTCATCACCGAGTTCTGCGTGAACAGTCCTCTCCTCCCTCTTTCCTCTGAAGGGCTCTGTGGGGACATAGGCTCCCAGTCTAGAGCCCTGGGCTGCCTTTACTAGATGGTACCCACGATTCCTGGCTTCTTTCTCACCACTCTCAGTATTAAAATGGACCCAATCCATGTGTCTTGCCTTCAGGACTTTTTGAGGCAACGGTTTTGCTAATCTCTGCTAAACTAATGCTGCCAAGGTATACCGGCTGATATAAAATCCCGTGACTCTCTGTTACTTGCCTGGCAAGCTTTGCATTAAAGGATAGTACCAAGACACAATAATGCTTTAACCCTCACGAGGGCTCTTTGGTGATGGGAATTTCTGGCACAACACCCACTCTGACCATGGGCCAGGGCCATTCTCAAGGGTTGCTGTCTGGTTGCTTAGGATTATTCTAGTGGCTTTGGCAGATTCTGGGAGTCGTTGCCTTTCCTCCATCTGTGCCTCTGAAGCCCGGTGTGGGGTGCGTGCTCACTCCTGTGCTCAGAGCCTGTGGCTGGGCCGTTAGTCCTGGGCCCTGTCTTGCAGCTTCCCGGACCAGGAGGTGCGCCGCATGGCTGTGCAGTGGATCGGCTCGCTCTCAGATGCCGAGCTGCTTGACTACTTGCCCCAGCTCGTACAGGTGGGTGGACTGGCCTTCCCTCCAGTTTTCAGGGTCCCACCCCAAGCCCACAAGTCAGTCTGCATTCCGCCCTTAGAACCCAGGGTCCCCAGGGGCTAGTAGTCGGTGTAGGTTACAGGCAGGCAGTAGAGCCTCACATCTGCTCTCTCCTAAACAGGCCCTGAAGTATGAGTGCTACCTGGACAGCCCCTTGGTGCGCTTCCTCCTGAAACGAGCTGTCTCTGACTTGAGGGTGACTCACTACTTTTTCTGGTAACACTCTGTGCCACAAGATGGGAGGTTCCCCGGGAGTGTTTGACTCTGCGGCTTGTGAGGGTGGGGAGCTGAGCCGCCTGGGCTCCAGCATGTTGCTGACTTGCCACGAGGCCTTGGACTAGCACCTTTTCCTTGGGGGGCTCTCCACGGTGAGCATCATCCCTTGTCCTCCTCCACCTGCGCACAGCAGAAATATGAAGGAAAAACTAGATGCAGAGGAGCTTTGAGCTCTCCTTAAAGACAGAATGGGACAGACTGGAATACGGACGAGTACCTCTGTATAAGCTAAGCACACAGAGTCTATTTTCCCTCCCAAGTTTGGGCTGGATTTTCCAGGGAGCTGGAGCTGGGTCTGATCCCTTCCCCCCCAACACACACCCTTGCCTGGGATCCTCTGAGGTCCTGGCTCCCTGCTCCCTCTGCCTTGCAGGTTGCTGAAGGACGGCCTCAAGGACTCTCAGTTCAGCATCCGCTACCAGTATCTGCTGGCAGCCTTGTTGTGCTGCTGTGGCAAGGGGCTGAGAGAGGAGTTTAACCGCCAGTGCTGGCTTGTCAACGTCCTGGCCAAGCTGGCCCAGCAGGTCCGGGAGGCTGCCCCGTCTGCACGGCAGGTGAGCGGGGCGAGGCTGCTTCGATCCATTTCTGCTCCTGGCTTCTGCAGCTAGTCTTTTATTTATTTATTTTTTTTGTGAGGAAGATCAGCCCTGAGCTAACATCCGTGCTAATCCTTCTCTTTTTGCTGAGGAAGACCGGCTCTGAGCTAACATCTATTGCCAATCCTCCTCTTTTTTTTTTTTCCCCCCAAAGCCCCAGTAGATAGTTGTATGTCATACTTGCACATCCTGCTAGTTGCTGTATGTGGGACATGGCCTCAGCATGGCCAGAGAAGCGGTGCGTCGGTGCGCGCCCGGGATCCGAACCCGGGCCGCCAGTAGCGGAGCACGCGCACTTAACCGCTAAGCCACGGGGCCGGCCCTGCAGCTAGTCTTTAACTCCTGGGCATCCTGACCAGCAGGAGGGCGCTTGACCATCTCTGGTTTAAGGGCTGGAAGGAGGTGACTCTGTCACTAACCTGGAATTGACAGTCTCCTGGCTGGATACAGACCATGGGTGTGTTTTGTTTGACCGGCAAAATGTTAAAATTTTCACTGAACTATTTGCCTTAAAGGCTAGGCACAGTCATGTAAGTTGTTCACTGCACTAGAGCAACAGCCAGAAGGGGCAAGTATGGACTGAAATCCTGTTGCACTTTGTTCACTTGCTGTGAGCCGTGGTCAGCGCTGCGGCCCACTGGAGGGCACCTTCATCTGTTTGCACAAAGGGGCTGCATCAGGCCAGCAGTGCTCCTTGTTGCTATATTTAAAAATTGGGAGATCTTAAAGTCCAGATTGTTGACTTTTCTTGACAGCAGCCTGAGCAGCATCTCCCCCTGGAGACACAGCCTGCCCTCTCAGTTCACTAGGGCCTGCTTCACGCTGTTCTGTCATCCACCTAGCCTCTCTGGGTCTGGGCTTGCTGCCCAGGTGCTGTCCCAGGCTAGTGTCTGGGGGGAGTGGTTGTCCTTCGTTGCGGGCTCCTTCTCAAGTGGTTGTCTTCATACTGGGCGGCCACCTCTGGGAGAGGCTGGTTCTGAGTGGAGCTTATGGGTGTCCCACCTTACCCCACTCCCCTTCTCCGCTCCCTCTCAGGGGATCCTCCGCACGGGCCTGGAGGAGGTGAGGCAGTTCTTTGCCCTCAATGGCTCCTGCCGCCTGCCGCTCAGCCCCAGCTTGCTGGTGAAGGGCATCGTGCCCAGGGTGAGTGACTGGGGGGTTTGGGGCTCTGGGAGTGGGAGGTCTCAGTGGAGGCAAGGTCCTCACTGCCCTGGTTATTGAGAGAAATGAGGAAGAAAGGCGTATCTGGGGCCTCTTCCCAACCCTGACGCATAGGGACTTTGGCCTGACAGCTGTGCAGGCTGGAGCAGTTGGGCTGGGGGCTGGGTAGGTTGGGGCTGAAGTCCGGGCTGGTGATGATGATCGCAGCTCTCGCCTGTCACCTGCCGAGCAGCCTCTCTGCGTCCCGGCACTGGCTAAGTGCTTTACGCTGTTATCACGTGTCATCCTCACAACTCTTATGAAGTCGGTATTGTTGTTAGACCCATTTACAGCAGCGTCAGCTGAGGTAGCGATAACTTATCAGAAGTCACACAACTAGTGAGCTGTGTGCAGAATGAACTGAAGGGCTGAGGGATCAGGTACCGGAGCTGAGGTCGTGACCAGCTGGACAGGATGACGGCAGTGGGGAGGGGAGGAAAGAATATGGGCTCTTGAGAAGCCCGGGAGAGACAGTGAGCAGCTGGGCCGGCAGCAGCTTGACGCAGGTGGAGAGGCCATGCCTTCCAGGCCGTGGGCCGGCCTGACCCTGGTACCACCCTCTCCACCGTGGCAGGACTGTTCCTACTTCAGCTCCAACGCTGTCCCCCTCAAGCTCTCCTTCCAAAATGTGGACCCGCTGGGTGAGAACATCCGTGTCATCTTCAAGGTGAGGACACTTCACTCAAGCCTGGTGGGATGAAGGTGGTAGAGAGAAGGGGAGGAGGGAGCCTGAGGGTGGCAGACGCAGCCCCGGGCAGTTCTCTTCCCGCTATTCCACAACGCCATTTTACTGTGTGAAAGACAACAGGTCGAAAAGGAAATAGACTAACTCTGCATGGCCCCAGAGGGCTAGGAACAGAGTGTGGTAGGTGTAGGGAGGCAAAGGACAGCTCAGTACATGGAAGCACTTTCTAGGAAGCAGACCTACCCCAACAATGGCATGGATAAGGTGGTGATCTGCTTGTCCCTGGGGGTATTCAAGCAGAGGCTAAATGACTACATGACAGCCACGTTGAAGAGGAAATTAAGATATCAGGTGTGGGTTGGGCTAGATGAACCCTGAGGTCCTTTCTAACTGATACATCCATGATTCCGAGAAGTAAATGATAGTCTCAGAGCATATAATCTAGTGGGGGGAGTGAAATGCTTGTACGTGACTTAGTAACTTAGACGTTTGCTGTGCGTACGCTCCAAATCCAAGGTATAAGTGCTCACGTTTGAAACAGGCTTGATGGTCATGAGGGCTGCATGAAGAAGGGAAAGCTGAATTCAATTCAGATGGGGCTGTGGGGTTGAGAGAAGAGCCAGAACACCACATGTGCACAATGTGGTTACTGGCCCACCTCTGCCTGTTTGATGTGGTGTGAGCTGAGTAAGCAGTCAGAGGTGCCAGGTGGGAGAACTGGGCCATCCCCTGTCACTGGAGTTTGGGCCCAGGTTGCCCTCCTAGGAGATGTGGGAGCTGGGGGAGGCGGTGGAGGTGGGTTCTGGTCACTGTCTTCCTCCATGCAGTGCGGGGACGACCTTCGCCAGGACATGCTAACCCTGCAGATGATTCGCATCATGAGCAAGATCTGGGTCCAGGAGGGGCTGGACATGCGCATGGTCATTTTCCGCTGCTTCTCCACTGGCCGGGGGAGAGGTAAGTCGGCAGTGGGCGGGGGCTGCGAATAGGCAGCTGGTATGGAGGGCACCCTTGCTTACTGCCCTCTGCCCATTCCCTGACATGAGCTGTATACTTCTCCAAAAAAGTGAAAACCGCAAGAGTATTTCATTAGAAGCTGTAGCATGGCATTAAAAGAAGGCAGGCAAGGGAGACTGTTATAAAATAAAACAGACTTGGAGACATAACAACAAACATACTGTGTAGACTTGGGATCCTGATTCAGACAAACCAACTGTAAAAAGATATTTTTTGAGACAATGGGGGAAATTTAAGTATAGACTGGGTTAGATTAGATCAGATCAAAGAATGACTGTTAATTTTTCAGATGTGATAATGGCATGATGGGTATGTCCTTGTTAGTTGTCCTTGAAATAATCAGAGTGAAATGACATGTCTGGGATTTGCTTTAAAATATCCTAGCCAGGGGGGAAAGCAAGGTTGACTGAATGAAATAGAGGAAACAAGATTAGCAAAATGTTGATAATTTTTGAAATTAGGTGATGGTTATGTGTGAATTCATGATACCGTTCTCTTTATTCTTACGTGTATTTGAAAATTCCCATAGTAAAAGTTAAAAACTAAAAAGGAGCAGCAGTTGTGAATGCGGGAGACCAAGCACCCCCATTGTGGGATAGGAGGCCTGGGCAGTGGCCTTCCTTTCTCCCCTTGTCCTTTTCCCTTATTATTGGGCTATGTCCACATGTCCTAGAGCTGGATTTGGACGGAGGCATCCATCAAAGCTCTTGTAGTCGTCTCCCGACAGTCCCCTCTCTCTGCTCTGGAGTGACCCCATTGCCTCCTCTCCCAGGGATGGTGGAGATGATCCCCAACGCCGAGACCCTGCGCAAGATCCAGGTGGAGCATGGGGTGACCGGCTCCTTCAAGGACCGGCCCCTCGCCGACTGGCTGCAGAAACACAACCCTGGGGAGGAGGAGTACGAGAAGGTAGGATGGGGGCGAGGCTGGGCTGGGCCAGGCCTGATGCTGCACATTGCTGCGTTTCCACAGGCCTGCATGTACGCGGAGAAGACAACTCAGCCGTGTTGGGAGGAAAGAAACACTCCTCCTTGGTTGACTAGTGCCTCCAAATGCATAGGGGTGGGTCAAATGTGTTGTCAGCAGACTGAGAAAATCCCTTGGTATCTGACAACAGGAGACCTTCATTGAGTTCCCCTGGCAGGTTGAGTTTTGGAGGAGGGGGACCAATGTTTGAGAACCTGCCTGGTATCCCTTCTAATTGTGGATCCTGTTCAGTTTCTTCTGTGCCCTCAGAGGGGTTCAGGGGTCTTTTGAAGAACAAGAGTTGGTTGGAACAGACTTTAGAGATCATTTTAATTTAACTCCTCTTTTCATAGTGAATGAAGAATCACTCATTTGTGCCTAGTTATGGAGCTGGTTTGTGGCAAGGCTGTAACTGGAAGCCAGGATTGGAGCTAGATAAGAGCTGGAGATGACAGAGAAGGGGGCTGACCTGGTCCTCGGGTGGAGCTGTACTGAGTGGTAGGACCTTGGTGGCCTGCTGTGGTCCATGGCTGGCCTAGTCTCTGGGTTAATTAAGTTTAGGGGAGAGAACAATTCACAATATCCAAACTCATAAGAGACTGAGTATAAGCCAGAATGCTAATTTATATAATTTAACTTCCAAGGAGATCCAAATACTAATTTATATTGATCAATGCATTTTATCCCTGAGGGAAAACCTACGTGGACAGCTAAATCATAATCAGAATGTGGTTTAGTGAACATCTAATTAGATGATCTTAAATGGCCTCAAATGTTTGCGTTCCCCAGGGTTTAGTACCCAGCCTGCTGTGCTCTCTTTGCATTCTTCTTGTGCCAGCTCCTCATCTCTTATTACTTTAACTACCACCCATTTGCTGATGCCTTCCACAGCCATTCTTCTAGCCCCCTCCACTCCCTCGAGCTGTGTACTCTACAGCCACCTGCTTGCCGGCTGTCTCTTGTGCTTCACCTGTACTCACACTCAGTACAGTCGTGTGCCACTGAACGATGGGGAGATGTTCAGAAAAATGCGTCGGTAGGTGATTTCGTTGTTGTGTGAACATCGTAGAGTGCACTTACACAAACCTAGATGGTGTAGCCTTCTACACACCTAGGCTACACGGCACTAATCTTACGGGACCTCCATCATCTGTGCAGTCCGTCGTTGACAGAAACGTCGTTACGCAGCGCATGACTGTATAGGCAAAACTAAGCTTTCTGTCTCTCCTTCTCTTTTTTTAAAGATTTTATTTATTTTATTTTTTGCCCCCAAAGCCCCAGTAGATAGTTGTATGTCATAGCTGCACACCCTTCTAGTTGCTGTATGTGGGACTCGGCCCCAGGATGGACAGAGAAGTGGTGCCTCAACGCGCACCCAGGATCCGAACCCGGGCCGCCAGCATCGCAGCGCACGCACTTAACCACCAAGCTACGGGGCCGGCCTTCTCCTTCTCTTCAAACGTGCTTTTTGTGTGTTTCCTATCAGTAAATGGTAAGACTCTGTGCAGTCACTCAAGACAGAGCCGTGCTTCCTTCGGCCTTACCTCTGCTGTACCCAGCCCTGTTGATTCTTCTTCCCAAATCTCTCAAATCTGTCCTCTTCTTCCCATTTCTTTCAGCTATTTCCTGTCTGTCCCCTGAACCACTGTAATGCTTCTTCTCCTTCCACTGCCATCCTCTGCTTGATTTCAAAGTTTTTTAATAAAGTACAGACCACTCATGTCACTGCTTTTCTCTGAGTTCTTCAAAGGCTCCCTATGTCCTAAAAGATAAGTCCACCATCCGTAGCACTGCATGCAAGGGCTTTTGTAACCCAGCCCTGCCTCCCCTGTAGTCTCATCACTGCACCTTCCATCTCATGATAACTTAACGCTTCAGCCTAGCGGGCTACTTGCATTTCCTTGATAACTTTAGATGATAGTATTCCTTTTGCCTGGAAAGCCATTTCTTCCATTTCCCATCCCTCAAAACCCACCCCCTCCACGTTGCAAACTTCAAGTCCTCTACCCCTGGAGAGGAGTAGTATGGATTCTTTCCTCCCTCCCGCCCACCCCGAATGCTATTTATACTAACATGTATTTTTCAGGTGTTAAACAGCCACCATGCAGAGGCACCGTGCTTGGTGCTGGAATTATGGTTACTTCCTGCCAGTGTAATAAAGGGTCAAAATATATCTGATAGAAGTATGTACAGGGCCGGCTCTGTGGCTTAGCGGTTAAGTGCGCGCGCTCTGATGCTGGCGACCCGGGGTCGGATCCCGGGAGGGCCCCGAGGCACCACTTCTCCGTCCAACGCGAGGCCGAGTCCCACGTACAGCAACTAGAAGGATGTGAACCTATGACATACAACTATCTACTGGGGCTTTGGGGGGAAAAAACTGAATAAATAAAATCTTTAAAAAAAAAAAAAAAAGAAAAGGAAGATAGGCACGGATGTTAGCTCAGGGCCAGTCTTCCTCAGCAAAGAGAGGATGATTGGCATCGGATGTTAGCTCAGGGCTGATCTTCCTCACAAAAAACAATAAACAAAACTTTGAAAGTCTTTTAAAAAAAAAAAAAGAAGTATGTACAGCAAGAGTACACACATACACAGAAACTAGCTCTGCTCCTTTGTGTTTAATATCAACCATTCAAAGATAGCTTCTCAGTTCTAGCCTTTCTGCTGGAATAACGCTGGTAGTTTCTTATGATAATTTCCAGTAGGAAAGAACTAGAGATATTTATCTCTTGGTAAAGAGAGAATCCCACATCCTACCAGTGAAACCCCTTAAATCAGGGGGCTCCTTTGTACGGTGAGACCTCCTGTCGGAGAGCAGCTAACGTTCTGCGTAACTTAGGTGACGAGGCTTCAGTCAGTTACATGGGCACACAGCTGTTCTGTGAGTCAAAATAGGATGCATTTCAGGTGGAAAGAATATCTGTAACAGGAAGACAGGTTGATGGAAATGAAGGTGAAGACTGGAGTTGATGGGTTATACTCCTTAGTGTGTGGCTTCTTTTCATTCATTTATTTGCCTTCCAGAGAAATCGTCTTTCTCTTCCAGGAGGTGCATTCTCTGATTTCTTCACAAACTTTCTATTCTTGGTTTCCTATGGATTAGTCATCTGGTTTAATTTGACAAGTAACTGGGGGCATTCTGTGTGTAGCTAGTTTTGAAATAGGCCTTGTGGACAGCCAAGAAGCTTCTGGGAGAGAAGATCCTAGACCCGGGGGGAGTGAAAAGACTAAGCAGTGAGTGAATGGTGGTGGCGCTGGGGCTGTAGGGCTCAATGAGGGAGGAGTCACTGTGAACTGGGAAGGTCTAGGACTCAGGAAGGTCCATGGAGGATGGGTGGAAATGTGCAGAGGGGGCGGTGAGGGCATTCACTCTGCATCTGGGAAGCTTTCTGTCATTCCCAGCTTTGTACATTCCTAGTTGGCTGTGACAGTTGTTGCCCTCTGCTGACGAGTCTTTCTTGAGTTCTTGGGAAGTCCATAAAGCTCACAAAGAGGATTTAGAGGGTGAAAGGTGTCCACTTACTAATTCCATTTGTTTTTACTTCCTGGAAAGACAGATAAGGGGACAGATGTTGACCAGATAAAACAAGGTAGATGTATCCCCTCACCTGTCCCCTCCTGCTGTAAACTCAGAAATATCTCTAACACATCTTACCAACTAGACATGTCTGATTTTCAAGTGTACAACACTCCCTAGAAGAGGTAAGCTGCCTCAGCTCTTCTTTGGAGTGAAGTGACTTTAGTTAGATTAGCATTTCGCTGTTACCAAGAACACTGGGCGTGGGAGTTGTCTTTGGGGCAGGGAGCAGAATGGAAGAATTCTGAGCTGGGTCAGGAAGGGACCCTAACTCGGCTGCCTGAGTGCTGTGCTTGCGTTAAGACAGTCACAACCAGTTGGGAAGGTTGAAGACGTGAGTCTTCCCATCTGTTAAGGTCTCTTCAGTTTGGGCTGGTCAAGTCTCGGCTCCGAGATGAGTTCACTGTCTTTTCCAACCAATCTTCCAGGGAGAAAGAAAGGCACAGAGGAAGGCGAGTTGCAGATAAAGTGGTGGAGGTGCACATAGAAGCCTTCCATCTCCTTATACCCCATAAGATACAAGAGGCGTTTCTGTGCATCAGTGTGTATGTTAGTACGTGATGGAGGCTCAACAGGCAGACGTGAGGTGCTGCTGGGGCTCACGAGAGAGAGGCCAGAGCTGGCTGCATTCTATCTGGCTGTGGCCCCTGGAGTCCCTCCAAGCCAGCTTTATGTCCTCTCCTCCCATCTGCCTTCCTCCTCCCAGGCTGTGGAGAACTTCATCTATTCCTGTGCTGGCTGCTGCGTGGCCACATACGTCTTGGGCATCTGTGACCGACACAATGACAATATCATGCTGAAGACCACCGGCCATATGTTCCACATAGATTTTGGCCGCTTCCTGGGTCATGCCCAGATGTTTGGCAACATCAAGCGGTAAGTGGTCTCCTGAAGCCAGGATGTCTGTCGGGCAGGGAGGCCAGCAGAAACGGTCCAGAGCTGGAACACAAGCCTGAGATGGAAGGGGCTGCACTTCAGCATGTGGTCCCTGGGCTGAGCTCTTTGGAGAAGAGAAGACTGATGAAGAGGTCAAGTCCTTGCAGAGCCATGCAGAAGAAGGTGGGGACCAGCTGTCCCCCTCCCTGCTGAGGACTGAGCTAAGGAAATGAGCCCAAACCACAGTAAAGGGAATACAGTTAGGTACCCGGGAAAAATATTGCTAGCTCATAGGCATAGGCAAGGAACCAATGAAGGATGTGGATTATCTTGTCTCTGCGGATCTTTTAAGACTATGGTAGGAAAAGAAGGAAAAAGTTAGAGGAGCCCCATTTCTTCAGGTTCGCACAGGTGATGAGGGATGAGGGGAACCATCCCCTGATGCAGCCCAAAGGATGGGCTTCCTCCTCCATGTTGACCTTCTTCCTGTTTGTTCTCCTTGGCCCAGGGACCGTGCCCCCTTTGTCTTCACCTCGGACATGGCATATGTCATCAACGGGGGTGACAAGCCTTCCAGCCGCTTCCATGATTTTGTTGACCTTTGCTGCCAAGCCTACAACCTCATTCGCAAGCACACCCACCTCTTCCTCAACCTTCTGGGTCTGGTGAGGAGCTCCATCCCTTTCTGAACCCCTCTTTTTCATCTGGCCCCATTTTTAAGACTCCCCTGTCTTGCTTCAAAGGATTTCTGGGGATCTACTTCTCTGAGCCCTTGGTAAAGGCAGGGCCCAGACCACCTGGAAATAGTGGTGTCTATACAGGCGTCTGACTTCCTGCTCCAGCCCCTCCACTCCCATGGCCCTCCAGCCGCTGTCTACAGCATCTGTCTGCCACCCTCTAGGGAGCCTAGCTAGAGAAAATCTTGCCTATGGCAGGGAAGAAGCAAGAATTCTTGGCTGGTACAAGCGTCGTCTCTCCTTTGCTCTCCTTCTAGATGTTGTCCTGTGGGATCCCTGAGCTCTCAGACCTGGAGGACCTCAAGTATGTGTATGACGCCTTGAGGCCTCAGGACACAGAGGCCAATGCCACTACTTACTTCACTAGGTAACACCCTGTGCACAGAACAGTGCTGCCCGCCCTGAGTACTTAATTTCCAGGCTGCCTGATTGGGAGGAGCAGGGCTAGGGAAACGAGAAAGGCTTAGCTCAGATGGCAGAGCCTAGAACTGACAACATGGATCTGTTGTCCCAGCTTTGCCTCTGACTTAAAGTAAATCACTTTACTTCTCTGAGACTCAGTTTCTCGTCTGCACTCTGGTGCTAACCTTTGTAATGGAGGTATTACAGTCCGACTCTTACTTGCATTCTCCCCAGGTCTCGGTCAAAGACTTTGTTTACAGGGCAATGTATAATATGGATTTTTAATAGGTTCTAGCTGTCTGGATCAGAACCTTCCCCCTTGTCAAAACATGGAAGTCCATGGCTCCATTTTCCCATATTTGGCAACGTTTTTAGGCACGTTGTGTATGAAAGCAGGGAGGTGTCTGTGCACTAATGGCTGCAGTTTTGATCGTGTAGATGATGTCTCCTTTTTATTACACTCTTTTTGGAACTTAGCCAACTAAATTTTCTCTGTTGGGTCTAACACTGAACTTTCCTTTTGAACCCAAATCTCTAGATTGAGCAGGGCTTGGTGAGGTTCCATTGTACTGAACCTTGAAATTCACTTTGACAACAATATTTAGACATTTACATGGTGACCCTACAGTGGAATCCCTAATTCTTTCCTCCCCTGGTTTGACTGTCTTTGGCTCAGGTGGGCAGTGAGGGAGGTAAGACCCCAGGATGCATAGGAATAAACGCATATAGGTAATCGTGTGCCATCATGCTCTCTGTGAGGATATTGCACAGGGAAGATGATTTGATCTGAGCTGAGTGTTCGTCTCAGGTGTCAGAGGCTATTCCTTGAGATAGCTCTGTCCCAGCAGTGGGGACTTGGGTCTCTGGTTACATCCTTTTCTTCCCATCCTCCTGCACCAACAGGTTGATTGAGTCTAGCCTGGGCAGTGTAGCCACAAAGCTCAATTTTTTCATCCATAACCTGGCTCAGATGAAATTCACGGGCTCAGACGACCGGCTGACCCTTTCCTTTGCCCCCCGAACACACACTCTCAAGAGCTCTGGCCGCATCAGTGATGTTTTTCTCTGCCGCCATGAGAAGATCTTCTACCCCAACAAGGGCTACGTAAGTGTTTTCTCCAATCTGACCCTCTCTTGCTCCCCACTGCCCCCAGCTTATTGGGGTTCTGACTGTTTCTTCACATCGACACTGTGGGTACTGGAATTGACTGAGCATCCTGTGCTGGGACCAGTCACAGACCACTTCCCTCTCCCTTGCCCAAGTGGCCTGCCTAGAACCAGGGCTGAATTGGATGTTATGCCCTCTGAGTCAAGGGACCTGTGACACATGTGCAGGAGATCTTTGCTTTCAGATTCCTGCATATGTTCTATCTGTGCTGTGCATTTCCTTTGGAGACACTTTGTCCTCTTCCTTCTGGAAATTGCACCCCCCAGCACACACACACACATACACTTCTGTTCCCTTGCCTGTCCCCTTCATTGGGTGCAGAGGGTTTGGCAGGTATTCTCTGAGACCTGGACCTTTGCAGATTTACGTGGTAAAGGTGATGCGAGAGAATGCTCACGAGGCCACTTACATCCAGCGGACGTTCGAGGAGTTCCAGGAATTACACAACAAGCTGCGGCTGCTCTTCCCTTCTTCCTTCTTGCCCAGGTAGCTGCCCCTTTCCTCTCGGCACAGAGGGATACTGGGCGGGGGGACGGCATGGGGGTAGGAGCGAGAAACTACCCTTTTAGAGTCAACATCTACCTACTTTTCTTGAGCTGGTAATGTGTGATAACAAGTGCTCCCCCTGCTGGCCAAGCTCTCCTGCACTCTGGCGAGGGAGAGGTCTTCCTCCAGCCTTGAAAATAAGCTTGGGCCCACCTGCCAGGAGAGCAGACTGGGTCTCAGGCAGGGGATTGACTGAATCAAGCTGTTTCAAAGTTTCTAATTTTTTAAAGAGTAAAAGTGTTGTTCAAATAGATAAACAAAATGTGGCCTATACATACATTGGAATATTATTAAGCCCTAAAAAGAAGGAAGTTCTGTCACATGCTACAACATGGATGAACCTTGAGGATATTATGCTGAGTGAAATAAACCAGGCATGAAAAAGACAAATACTGTATGATCCCACTTATATGAGGTCCCTAGAGTAGTCAGAATCATAGAAACAGAAGGTAGAATGGTGGGTGCCAGGGGCTGAGAGGGAGCAGGGAATGGGGAGTTAAGTGTTTAATGGGGACAGTGTTTAATGGGGACAGAGTTTCAGTTTTGCAAGATGAAGAGAGCTCTGGAGATAGATGGTGGTGGTGCTTGCACAACAATGTGAATGTACTTAATGCCACTGAACTGTACACCTAAAAATGGTTAAGACTGGGCTGGCCCCGTGGCTTAGCGGTTAAGTGCGTGCGCTCCGCTACTGGCGGCCAGGGTTCGGAAGCGGGGCGCGCACTGACTGACGCACCGCTTCTCTGGCCATGCTGAGGCCGCGTCCCACATGCAGCAACTAGAAGGATGTGCAGCTATGATATACAACTATCTACTGGGGCTTTGGGATACAAAAAGGAGGAGGATTGGCAATAGATGTTAGCTCAGAGCTGGTCTTCCTCAGCAAAAAGAGGAGGATTGGCATGGATGTTAGCTCAGGGCTGATCTTCCTCACACACACACACACAAAAAATGGTTAAGATGGTAAATTTTATGTTATACGTATTTCACCACAATTTTTTTAAAAAGCCATTTTTCTAATGAGTTTTTACCTTGATGGGGAAAACTGGGGGCACCAAAGCCCCCCAGGTACTTCTGGGATCCACAGGACTCTGCCCAACAGTTTGGTTTTCTTGTCTGGGGTCCTTGGAACTGTGGGGTGTGAGATGCGCGTGCGTGTGTCCTTGGCACAGGCCTGGGGGCTGCGGGGGAACGGAGCGGGATGAGGATCCCTGGGAAGGCTGGTGGTGAGAAGTGGGGGGGGTCAGGTGACTGAAAATGCAAAGGAAATATGACCAGAGCCTGTTGCCGCTCAAGTTGCTTTCCCGTCTTCCCCTCCTCCCCAGCTTCCCCAGCCGCTTCGTGATTGGGCGCGCGCGCGGAGAGGCGGTGGCCGAGCGGCGGAAGGAGGAGTTAAACGGCTATATCTGGCACCTGATCCACGCCGCCCCCGAGGTGGCCGAGGTGGGTGGGCCCTCTCTGCTCCTGGCTGCTGCGGGTGGTCGCTGCTTCGGGTGGGGATGCGGGCGGCGGGTCCGGAGCCGCTGGAATCGCGGAGGCACCTGGCTCTTCTGGGCCTGATTCTGCGGAGGAGGTGGGTGGTCGTGGCCCCAGCCCCCCGGGGCTAGGCGCGTGAACGGGCACGTGAACGCCGTGAAACAAAGGCGTGCGGCGGGCACTCAGTGAGACGCGAGCTCTCGCGTGCCATCCCAGGCGGCTTGCGGTGGTCAGATCCTGAGGGAGGAAGGGGTGCTGGAGGAAGAGGAGTTTTTTGAGCAGGTTGAGTGTGTGTATCCACTCAGATATCTTTTTTTTAAACAAATAGTATTATAATTTGGTATTATAATGGGCGTGAAAACAAATATAGCCGCCAGGAGTCTTATCACCCTGAGAGATCATCTAAGCCCGTTTCCATATTTCCTTCCTATTTGTCCATATGCAAATATGTTACCTTTTACAGTTTCGTAGTGGTCATAGCTTAAATGTAATTCTGTATTCTGTTTTTTTAACTTAGAGTATATAGTAAGCATATCTTTAAATATCTGTACCAGATTAATACGTTGGCTTGCAATACCATAGTCGCTGTAACCCTTTGCTTCTTGAAAGACGTATGTCCATTTTTTTCACTATTAATGCTAGAGTGGGTATTTTTACACATTTTAGTTTTTGTTTTCCCTAATTACTTAGGAAATATTCTGAAGAGGAGGACTTGTGGCCTTTGTTCAAGGCTGGCTCAAGCATTTCTGTGTGCTTGCGGGGATGGTGTGTCTGTACAGGAGGGAGTAGTAGAACAGAACAGACTGATTTGACCTAGTTTGGTTTTTTCTTTTTTTAAAACTTTTTATTATGAGAACTTTCAAACATACGTAAAAGTAGAGAAACAGTATAATGAGTGCCTATATATTCATCACCTGAAGAGTTAATATTTTGCCATATTTGCATCATCTATTTTTGTATGAAATATTTTAAAATCAATCACAGACATCATGATATTCTACTCCTGATACTCACTTCGCATCTCTGAAAAATAAGGATGTGTTCTTACATAACTACAGTGTCATTATATCATCCAGTACATTAGAGTTGGCTTGTTTGAGCCATGATCCAAACAAGAACTGCACATTACATTTGGTTGTTGCATTTTGTAAGTCTCTTTTAATCTGAACAGTCACTTTCCCAATAAAAAAAAGTTGAGCCATTGTCTTATTGAAGAACGACCCTGTTTTCTGATTCCATTCCAGTGTGATTTGGTGTACACCTTCTTCCACCCCCTGGCCCGGGATGAGAAGGCTATGGGCACCAGCCCAGCTCCCAAGTGCTCAGGTACAGTGCCTTCTCTGTGACACTTCTGCCAACCCCTCTGAACCATTCCCAAGGGCAATTTCTCTTGCCCTCACCTCTGCCCAATTCTCTTTCCTTGACTCGTCTCTGTTGTTTTAATTACTTACTATAGAATCTGGTTTCCCACTCAGGCTGCAGAGCCCATCGCTCCTTGAGCAAGTTCCCAGGGCCTAGATATTCAGTTGGTGATTACACACTCAAATTGGATAGACCCATCCCAACCCAGCTCTAAATCATGTTCACAGACCCCACTTGGCAGATCCCCATGGGGTATCAGGAACCTGACATGGAGATACTGAGGGAGGTCAGAGAAAAACACACACACCTACCTGGCACCAGATGGGGACAGGGAGCTTCATGACCTTTCTCAGTTTCCTTCATCCCTACAGATGGCTCATGGGCCCGGCCTGTCGGGAAGGTAGGAGGGGAGGTGAAGCTGTCAATCTCCTACAAAAACAACAAACTTTTCATCATGGTGATGCATATTCGGGGCTTGGTAAGTGCATGCACGGTCCTCGTTTTTTGTTCTTTATCTTCTGGTACTTTACTGACTAGTCAGACCTTCTCTTTCCCCCTCTCATGAGAGTAACCACTGTTGGAGAGGGGGAAAACCCCCCCCACACTTATGTTCTTCTGAATGGACTAATAAAGCTGGTATGAGACCAGATTAACAGGAGAAAAAACAATTTAATAGGTGCACACGGGAGATCATAGAAAAACGATGCTCAGAGAATGAACAAAGCAGGCAGTTTATGGATCTTTTTATGCAAAAAGACAATAAATTTGTGAGGATTTGACAGGACAAAGAAACTTAGGAATGGGGTATGTGATTAGTGAGGAATTTAAGCAGAGCTTAGGCTTGAGATAGTAAATTAGTGAAAGTAACAAAGTTTGTTTATACAGGCTTCTCAGCTGTGAATTTCCTAGCTGTGGTGATAAGGATGTGTCTGTCTTTCCCCTTTCACCTGGGAGATTTATTTCCTGCCTTCAGGAGGAACAGAGAGAGGAGGGTGAAAACTTTAAGTCAGGGCCAGCCCAGTGGCATAGTGGTTAAGTTCAGTGCACTCCACTTCAGCAGCCTGGGTTCACGGGTTCTGATCCCCAGCATGGACCTATACCACTCATCAAGCCATGCTATGGTGGCAACCCACGTATAAAATAGAGGAAGATTGGCACAGATGGTCAGGTCAGGGCCAGTCTTCCAACGGATGTTAGCTTAGGGCCAATCTCCTTCACCAAAAAACAAACAAACAAACCCCCCCCCCCCCCAAAAAAAAGCAGCTTTCAGTCAAAACAAGTAACTTTAATTCGAAATAATCAGTATGCCATTGTAGGATATTTTGGTGTGGCCTGCTGTGGGCCCCAACACGACAAAAGTTACTGAGTACCCACCAATGGGCCTGCTACCACACCAGGCCTGTGGTATGACCAAGCAATACTAGACACAGCTTCTTACTAACTGTGGTCTTTAGCAAGTAGCCTAATTACTCTGAGCCTCATTGAAATGAGGATAACCTTAATACCTACCTCTCAGGGTTGTTCTGGGCTTTAAATGTTGTTAAGGAGAAAACCACAAGCCCAAAATGGCATCACTCGTGCTGAAGCCCCATGATACCAAACCTAGGTTAACACCTAGCCTAGTTGCAGTTTCAGCCTCTTGCAGGAATGTAATCTTCATCAACCAGTCTGGAACTTCCCAGTCAGCACCAGTGAGGTAATCTGACACATAGGCCATCTACAGCCCCCAGAGGAAGAAGAGGCAATCTACCTGATAAAACCCTTGCTGTTCCCTTCCCCCTAAAAAGGAAAATGTCCTGGCCTAAAAATCCTTTATTTTCTTTTCCTAATAGCTCCCTTGCCCCACCTTCCTTGCTGTAAAAACCTTCCATTTTGTATAACTCCTCAGAGTATCTCTGTGCTTGCTAGATGAGATGCTGCCCGATTCATGTATTGCCTAATAAAGCCAATTAGATCTTCAAATTTACTCTTGAATTTTGTTTTATAACACTGTGTTAAAAAGAAACAGCAGGCCCAAAATGGAGTCGCTTATGCTCGGCCCCACCAAGATTTAATACCTCACCTAATTGCAGTTTCAGCCTCTCTCAGGAGGGGAATTTTAAATCAATCAGTCTGGAATTTCCTGATCAACACTAGTGAGGTCATCTGCCTGATAAGACTCCCTCCCTTCCCCTAAGGGAAGGTGACCTTGTCTGAAATAATTTTCTCTTTTACCTTCTTTGTCCCACCCTCTTTCTGCCTATAAAAACCTTACATTTTGTACAACTCCTTGGAGCTTCTGTCTGTTTGCTGGATGGGATTATACCTATTTCATGAATTGCTGAATAAGGCCATAGATCTTTGAATTTACTCAGTTGAGCTTTTGTTCTTTAACAAATGAGATAATGCATGTAGAGCACTTAATATAGTGCCTGGTATTATTATTATGGTAATTATGGTGATTATTATGAGGGAGAGGCCCAAGAGACTTACTACCTGGTTATAGAGATAAGGCAGTCCCATGACCTCCGTGGAGCATAATCAAGACAGGGTCTAGTTACTAAACTTTTGGTATGATTCTAAGAACATTGTGAGTAGAAGGGGAAGGGAACTTTTACTGAATACCTGCAGTGTGCTGGACTTTTGTCGTTGGGGGCATTGGTGGGAGCATGTGGCAGAAGGAGCGTGAGCTTTGGAATCAGAGAAACCTGGATTTCACTCTGACAACAGTATTCATTTATTCATTCAACACGTTTGTCAAGTGTCTGCTGCATGTCAGGCGCTGATACATTAGCTCTGGATACAAGGGTAAACAATCCCTGCCCTCAGGGGGCTTCCATTCTAGAGGAAGAGGCAGACAGACAGACAGATAAGTAAACTGTATGGCAAGTCAGATAGTGATAAGTGCTCTGGTAAGAAATAAAGCAGAGAAGGAGTACTGGAGTGGAATGAGGGTAGTGGCAGTTTTGCATAGAGTGGTCAGGGAAGCCCTCATTGATGAGGAGGTATTTGAGCAGAGATGGAAGGAGGTGAGAGAGGGAGCCATGCATATACACCCAAGGGAGGTTGTTCCAGGCAGAGGGAGCACTTAAATCCAAAAGCCCTGAGTCAGAGCGTGCCCCTGGTGCGCTGGGAACTGCGAGGAGTCGTTGTGGCTGAAGCCCTTGGAGCAAACAGGAGAACAGAGGGTGCTGAGGTTGGAGAGGGCACAGCGGACCAGAGCCTGGGTCCCCCAGTTGGGACCATGGCTTTACCCTGAGGGAGATGGGAGCCATTGGAGGGTTTTGAGCAGAGGCATGGCAAGATCTAATTTAAGATTTAAAAGGACCAGGCTGAGTGAATCACTAATTGGCTGACCTTGAGCAAGCAACAATGTCTCTGATTCATTTCTTTACCTCTTCAGGGTTACTTGGATCAAATGAGAAAACAGACAGACATTGGGCATGGCAGGAAGATGCCTGGGAACACAATGGTTCATTCACAACATACCCCATTACGGCATGCCCTGGGCAGTTGTATAGAGTACAGACTGGATGTAACAGGCAGTCTGGCTGATGTTTTAGTAGGACATCTAGCATGATTATAGTAGACATTTCCATCAGAATGGAGTGAGCTGGGAAGCAGACAAATAAATTACTGTGCATTGCAGGAAGACAGGTATGGGTGAGGAGGGTGTAATCACAGAAATGGTGATAAAGAAGCAGATAGAAGAATCTTCAGCTTTTTTTATTGCTGTTTTTATTCACCTTGTAGCAACTGCTCCAGGATGGGAATGACCCTGACCCCTATGTAAAGATTTACCTCCTTCCTGATCCTCAGAAAACCACTAAGAAGAAAACCAAAGTGGCCCGGAAAACCTGCAACCCCACCTACAATGAGATGGTGTGTGGGGGCGGGCTGGGGGTGGCAGACCAGGCCTGCTTTTGTAAACAGAGTTGTATTTGAACGAGGCCACACCTGTTCATTTAAGTATTGTCTGGGGCTGCTTGCTTGTGGCAGCAGCAGTGTTGAGTAGTTGGGACATAGACCAGGCTGTATGGCCTTTAAAGCCTAAAATATTTCCTATCTGGCCCTTTACATAAAAAAGTTTGCCAATCTTTGGGTGGGGATTCCACAGCTGGGGTGTGGCCTGGGCCCTGTCCTGCGGGGAGGAGGAGCCTGTTGGTCGTTTACTGATGTGAGCAGTGGCCCCACTAAAAAGCCCTCACCTGTTTGAACTCTGAGCAAAGAACAAAGTTCTTTAAAGCTTCCCTTGGGTTCTGTGTGCCTTCTCTATTCCCCTGGACTCTGTCTGGTTGGGGAGATGAAGTGGTCCTAGCCTCAACCAGATCAAACCACCACAGACTCAAGCATCTCCCTCTTCCCTGTTCTCTCTCTCACCGCTCGCCTCCCATCCCCACCTCTGTGTTTGCAGCTGGTGTATGATGGGGTCCCCAGGGGAGACCTGCAGCAGCGGGAGCTCCAGCTGAGTGTGCTGAGCGAGCAGGGGTTCTGGGAGAACATCCTCCTCGGGGAGGTGCACATCCGCCTGCGAGAGCTGGACCTGGCCCAGGAGAAGACTGGCTGGTTCGCACTGGGCTCTCGAAGTCAGGAGACCTTGTGAGCCCAGCAGATCCCTAGCCGGGGACCCTGGTGGTGGAGCACTAGGGAGAAGACTCTCCTCTGATTGACTCTTCCTTTCCTTGCCAGGGGGCGGGGCCCTGGGGAGGCCTCCCTGTGGTCCAGGTGGATTGAGCCTTCCTGCTAGGAGTCAGGGAGAGTAACTGCTCTCTGCTGTCCCCTCCTCTGCAGACTGAATTGGGGTTGGTGGTGATGAGCAGCCCTTGGAGGCTGCGAGGTTGCAGCAAAGTTTTAAGTTTACCTTGTGTCAAGGGAGCAATGCCTGGTTTGGGGTGTGTGGGGTGGGCTGTATGAAGTAGCATTTTAGTGGGGAGGGTGGGTGGATATCTTTATTTTTATTTTTAAAAAATGCAATAGTAATGTTGTCCTAACTGGACAGGAAGCCTTGTGAGAAGGGACTTACATATGCCTCAGAAAGCAAAAGAGGAAGACTATTTGGAATTTTTGTATGATTAAGGTTCTTATTGGACTTTTCACTAGATTGTTTTTGTTTTTCTGTCTATAAGAATTATTTGAGGAGGGCCCAGTGGGTCCTCGGTTAGAGCCCTCCCTCTCAGGGCAGGTCGGGGAGGGACGGGGAGGGCTGTGTGTGCTGGTCGAGGCCTGCGCTGCCGGGCCTTTCTGATTTTGCCTCCAAAGGAGAGCGATGTGATACCTGGTGTGTAAGGAAGGGCCTTCTGTTGGGGGTTCTGCAGAGAACCAGGATTCAGGGACTCAAGCTCTCTCAGGGGAGTTGACTCGCATCTTCCCCTACTTTGCTAGGACTCGCCCTGAATACTCTCTTCTACCCTCCATTCTCTCCGCCCTTCTGGGGACCATCTAGTCCCTGTGAATACGCTGGGGGCGCTTCCCCCATAGGCCTCTCCCTTCATTTTTCTCTGGTGGGATAAAATGCTGCCTCAGCCCTTAGATTTCGATTCGCCCAAGGGCGTCTTGGTCCTGGGAGGGGCCTGGAGGCTTCAGATGCCAGTGTGGCCCCATCACCCCTATACCACTCCCCTCTTTTGTGCTGCTTCTCTCCCAAACGCCATTTCTGTCACATTTTTTATAAGAATTTCCCTCATTCTGTGGGGCCATAAACCTATTTAGTTTGGACCCAAAGGGATGCCCTAACTGAAGGAAGGGTGCATGTGATGGAGGGGGTCCGTCAAAACAATTGTTTTGTCCTGGGATTCTCTTTGGTCTCAAGGGACCTGGATTAGAGGGTGCGGATCTCCTGGAGCTGGGCTGGAGGAGAGGCTGGGTCTCTTATCTCTTGTGCTCTTCATTCCCTCTCGTGCTTTACTTCAAAGGGTTGTCTTCCTTGAAAAAAGAGGGTGAGACTTTGAATTTGATGTTAATTTTTTAAACCAGAATTGGCTGATGTGCCCCATGATTGGAGAACAGAGTGAAACGGGGATGCCCTATCAGTTGTCCCTCACTAGCTTCCTCCTCAGCTCCGGGGATCAGAAATTCCCGCTTTTGCTGACTCATTCCATAACTGGAGAAGGAAGCTCCGGGTTCATTGAAGCCACAGGGCAGCAAGGAAGTGTAAACGTTTCAGTGAAAAGTGCCAAGGAGATAGCTGGCTGCTGTGGGGCGGGGCTCGGGGGATGGGGAAAGGGGTGGAACTTCTCCAGATGAATGGACCATACCTGTGTTACTGGCTTGTTGCGTGTAGCTCATTTTGTTGTGACCCTCGGTGCCCTGAGTAAAGAGATCTGTGTACTGTACCCACTTGCCAGACGTCCTTGTATCTCCCACTTTCTATGGAATTGTATTTTCTAATAAATGACATTTGAGAAAAAAGTATCATTCTCAGGATTGGTTGGTGTTTAAATGTTTTGATTAAAACATCTGGTGTCCAAGAGGAAAATAGTAATAGTAGTGGTTTTACAAAAATGATACCTGTGGCATGCACTGGTGTGCTGAACTGGGTGTTTAGGTTGGTCAGCTAGCTCTACCCCCAAGGACCTGCTCAGGTGAGTAGTGTTATCTGCATTTTACAGATGACTGAACGGGAGCTCAGAGAGATTGAGGGATTTGCTTAAGGACATAGCCAGTCAGCCTTTGATCTAGAATTTGAGCCCACGTTTGTTTGACTCCAAACCTTGTGCTACTCCCCCCAGGCAAGGCTGAATACAGTCTCTTAAATTGGTATAATATTTGTTAGTTTTCAGAGTGTTTTAATATAAATGATGTCATTTTTCATTACAACTACTCTGGAAAGTAGATTTGGTTCATTCATTCATCCTGTCAACAAACATTTACTGTCCTCACCAGTGCTCCCTGATGGCATGCCTCCACTCACAGAGAACATGGCCCTTGGAGGTGTGCCTGGGCCCTGTACCATCCTGGCTGGGGATTATGAAAATAGATTAAGGCAATCCTCTGCACTTAAGAAGCTGACTGCCTAGTGATACTTTACCCCATTTTACGAGAGGAAACTGAACCCCTGAGATGCCCCACAACTCCTAAGTTGCTAAAGCAGAGCCTAGGCTGAGAAACTGAAACCCCAAATGGAAGATGGAGGTCATGTGACCCTGTTCAAGCATTTTATGTAGAAGTTTTCAAAACTCTCCAGTGGTGAGTCATATTTCATGCTGGGAAATTTTATGGGGCCTCCAAGGGACTTTCATTTGTAAACAGTAGGAAGTGTTACCTACCTGCTGTGTTTCTAAGTGGTTTTGAGGTGTCACTGCAGTTCTGGACAAGTCCTAATGGACCTTTTAAAAGTTAGAACTTGAATCTGGCAAGAGTGTTTGTTAAGGAAATTTCTTGGCCAAATGGGGTAGAAATCGGAACCACCCTGAGGGAGTAGGAATGAGAGAGCTGGGGAGTCGGGGAAGAGAGGTTGCCCAGGGAGAAAAGAAACAAAAGAAGCCCAGGAGGCTGGGTTTTCTGAGTTCAAAGACAGGTGGCAAAAATGAAGTAACCTGACTTGCTGAGATTTGGGGACAAAGATTAGGTTGGACTTGAAAGGTCAAAAGTGAGGCAGCATTTTAAGTTGGGAGGTAATTCTGGTGGCTGGGACTTGCCTAAGAGAGATTTTTTTTTTTTTTTTGCTGGGAAGATTGTCCCTGAGCTAACGTTTGTGCCAGTCTTCCTCGATTTTGTATGTGGGACACCACCATAGCATGGCTACCAGTGAGTGGTGTATGTCTGTGCCCGGGAACTGAACCCAGGCCGCTGACGCGGAGTGTGCCAAACTTACCCACTGGGCCACAAGGCCAGTCCCTGGGACTTGTCTGAGATGTCTGATCAACAAACAACACTAGTGGCCTTCGCTGGGTCAGGCGAGGCACCAAGGCGCTGTGGCTACTGAGATGACAAAGGTGTGGATTGTGTCCTCAAGGACTTTACAGTCCAGCTAGGGAGGCAGACACGGAAACAAGTAATGACTGTGCACATGCAGTGTCTCAGGGACAGATGGAAAAGGGGAGGGGCAGGGCAGGCAGGGTGGGCTTCTCAAGGGGATATTTGAACTGAGTTTTCTTTTCTTTCTTTTTTCTTTTTTTTTTTTGCTGAGGAAGATTTGCCCTGAGCTAACATCTGTTGCCAGTCCTCTTTTTTTTTTTTTTGCTTGAGGACACTTAGCCCTGAGCTAACATCTGTGCCAGTCTTCCTCTATTTTGTATGTGGGTTGCTGCCACAGCATGGCTGACAAGTGGTGTAGGTCCCCGTTGGGGATCTGAACCCGTGAACCCGAGCCACCAAAGCAGAGTGCACCGAACTTAACTACTAGGCCACGGGGCTGGCCCCTGAACTGAGTTTTAAGGTCAACCAGGACTCTGAGTTTTATTCTTAGTGCGATGGAGACGGGAAGGTTTTGAGAAATGGATTGCAGTGCTCCAGTTTGTGTTTTCAAAATCCTACTGGCTGCTGTCTGAAGCAAGAATGGAAGCAGAAGAGAAGGCTGTTGCTGTAGTCTAGAAGGGAAATGATAGTGCCTGGGGATGGTGAAAAGTGGTCCAATTCTGGATATCTTTTGAAGGTAGCTGACAGGATTTGCTGATGGAGTGGATGTGTTGTTGAGGGAAAAAGGAGTCAAGGCTGACTCCTAAGTTTGGGGCCTTGGCAACTGGGTGAAGAGGACTGTGGGGTGCTGCAGGGATGGGAAGACGGGCTTGGTGAGGCTGAATTAAGAGTTTTGTTGTGATCATGATAACTTTGAGATGTCTGGTAAACATCCAAGTGGAGAAATAGAATGGAATCTGAAGCCCAAGAGAGGGTCAGTGTGGAGTTCAGACGTGGAAGTCATCAGCATTTAGGGGCCGTTTAATGCCATGGAACGGGATGAGAAAACCTAGATTGGAGAGACTAGTAAAAAAGACATGGGCCCTGGCCGGCCAGTGGCATAGTGGTTAGGTTCGTGTGCTCTGCTTCGGTAGCCCAGGGTTCGCGGGTTCAGATCCCAGGTGCAGACCTACACACCACTCATCAAGCCATGCTGTGGCAGCATCCCACATACAAAATAGAGGAAGATTGGCAGAGATGTTAGCTCAGGTCTAATCTTCCTCACCAAAAAAAAGGATAAAAAAAAAGACATGGTGGACTGAGCTCTGATGCAGGCCAACATTTAGAGGAGGAAGAGCCACTGAGATTGTAGGTAAACCAAGAGAATGGTGCCTAGTGCCATGGGAGCCTAAAGAAAAGAAATATTGTTAATATCCTAGATCCACTCTAACAAAGCACCACAGACGGGGTGGCTTAAACAACAGAAATTTATTTTCTCACAGTTCTGGAGGCTAGAAGTCCAAGACCAAGGTGTCGGAAGGGTTGGTTCCTTCTGAGAGTTGAGAAGGAGGATCTGTCCCATGCCTCTCTCCTAGCTTCTGGTGGTCTGCTGGCAGTCTTTGGCGGTCCTTGGCTAGAAGACACATCACCCGGATCTCTGCCTTCGTGTTCACATATGTTCTCTCTGTGTACATGCATGTATGTCTGTGTCCAAATTTCCTCTTTGTATAAGGACACAGTCATACTGGATTAGGGCCCATCCTTAATGACCTCATCTTAACTTGCAAAGTATATCCAAATAAGGTCACATTATAACATGTACTGGGAGGCTAGGACTTTAACATCTTTTAGGGGAGCACAATTCAACCCACAACAACCAGAGAACTGGATTTGGTGACCTTGGTAAGAGCTGTTTGAATGAGTGGTGGGGATAAAAGCTACATGGAAGTAACTTAAAGAGAGAACAGGTGATGAGAAAGTGGAGACCACAGGCATAGACAACTCATGAGAAATTTTGTTGCAGTGGTGTAGAAACTTGGAGGGGCACCTATCTAGGGAGTTTTTTAACGTAGGTGGTATTAACCTATGTTAATGTGAGTGCTCTAGGAGCTTGAGAGAGAACATTGTATGTTACAGGAAAGAGGAGACGAGGGAGGCCAGAATTCCTTGAGTAGACATGAAGGGATAGGAGCCAGGAGGCTTCTTTGCTGGTAGTGGGATTGAAAGCAGAGTGTGTGGGTCCAGATGCAGGTAGTTTGGTGGGTTTGCTGGTGGAAAGATGAAGTTGTTTATGTTCAACTGTATCTATTTTCTCAGGGAAGTATGAGGTGTGATCATAAGCTGAGAATGTGTGCTTATGGGAGTGCTGGAAATTTGAATAAAGAAACATTGTGAAACAGTCTCAGACTGTAGAAGAAGCAGAGCTACTGGGGAACCAGGAGCGGGGCCTGGCATTGATGAGATTCGTGATCAGAAATATGAAGTCAGTCAGTCAGCATGGTTTTTCTCCTGCAGTGATTAGCTGCAAGGGTGTAGGCTCAGAATAAGTGGGTAGTTGGGCTTAACTAGGGCTGGAATTTGCCAGAGAACAATGCTGGTGTAGGAGAAGGGCAAGAGAATGAAGGGTCTTTGCAAGGGGGGTAGTTTTCTTTCTTTTTTTGCTGAGGAAGAGTTGCCCTGAGCTAACATCTGTTGCCAATCTTCCTATTTTTGTATGTGAGCTGATGCCACAGCATGGCCACTGACAGATGAGTGGTGTAGGCCTGCACCCAGGAACTGAACCCGGCCCCCAAAGCAGAGTGTGCCAAGCTTAACCACTAGGCCACCAGGGCTGGCCCACAAGGGGGGTAGTTTTAATACTAGATCATGGGATTCGTGCTAGGTAAGGAGGGTGAAGAATCACCAAAAAAGTGGAAATAGCAATGGTTTGAGGTGTCTGCGGGTTAAGTTGCTGACTGGGGATACCAGGGCAGGGCGTTGGAAGGATAGGAGGTGGTAGCCAGAGGGTGGGACACATAGAAATAAGATTTTGGAGGTGGTACTGACTCTGAAAAATGAAGTCAAAAGCTATGCACCCTTTACCTCAGGCCTGGCAAAGTCTTTTACAGTAAATGTAATTTACTGAGGTTTAAATTTTCTTCTGCCAAAATGCCAGTCAGCTTGCCGGTCCAAGGACTTATCTCCACCAGCATGTGTAGCCATGGCAACACGTGGTTATCTCTGTAAACAGAGCTGCTCTTCCTCTGCCCTCCAGTTGATAGCAGGCTGGAGGAGGGTGGTGTGCACCTTGTTTTCCTGTTGAGACTGACAAGGCAGTCACATATTCTTACAGCTTTCCCATACTTTATGACTGCATTTTTCCCCTTTAGAAGGTAAGAAAAATAAAAATTATGTATCCAATGACTAGAAAGGGAAGGGGAGGCTCATTCAGGAAAAGTTCTAAGAAATTTTTTAGGGGCATATGGTGTTAGTGACAAAGTTGGGAGTGGCATTCAAGACGCTTGGCCATAAAGAAGATGCTATTGTTTTATTTTATTTATTTATTTTTTTGTGAGGAAGATCAGCCCTGAGCTAACATCCATGCTAATCCTCCTCTTTTTGCTGAGGAAGACCGGCTCTCAGCTAACATCCATTGCCAATCCTCCTCCTTTTTTTCCCCCAAAGCCCCAGTAGATAGTTGTATGTCATAGTTGCACATCCTTCTAGTTGCTGTATGTGGGACACGGCCTCAGCATGGCTAGAGAAGCGGTGCGTTGGTGCACACCCGGGATCCGAACCCAGGCTGCCAGTAGCGGAGCGCACACACTTAACTGCTAAGCGACGGGTCCGGCCCCGAGATGCTATTGTTTTAAAGTATTATTATTCTTCTATTCATTCACCATGTACTGGTCACCTATTATGTGCCAGTCAACATGCTAGGTACATGGTCCCTAAACTTTTTGGTCTCAGGACCCCTTTACACACTTAAAAAGTATGGAGGACCCCAAAGAATTTATGTGGATTATATCTATTGATAGTTACTGTTTAGGAACTCAAAACAGGAATTTAAAAATATTTATTCATTTAAAAATAATAATCCCATTACATGTTAACATAAAAACATTTTTAATTAAAACTTATTTTTTAAAACAAAAATGTTTAGCAAGATAAGTGGCATTGTTTTACATTTTTCCCAAATGTCTTTTTTTTTTTTTTTTAAAGATCTTATTTATTCATTTTTTTCCCCCCAAAGCCCCAGCAGATAGTTGTATGTCATAGGTTCACATCCTTCTAGTTGCTGTACGTGGGACTCGGCCTCGCGCTGGACGGAGAAGTGGTGCCTCGGGGCGCGCCCAGGATCCGAACCCGGGCCGCCAGCATCAGAGCGCGCGTACTTGACCGCTAAGCCACAGAGCCGGCCCTCCAAATGTCTTTACTATCTGGCTTAACAGAAGTCAGCTGGCATCTCATGTCTGCTTCTGCATTCACTCTGTAGCCAGACCACATGTCATGTATCCTCTAGCAGACACATGTCTGTTGTACCCTCATGAGAGAAGAGGAGAGTGAAAAAGGAAAAGAACAGCTTAGTAGTAGTATAAAAATATTTTTGACCTTGAGGACTTTCTGAAAGGGCCTTAAAATGGGAGCCCTGGTGGTGCCCAGACCACACTTTGAGAAGCACTGTGCTAGGTATTGGGATACAGCCCTCAAGGAGCTGAGACCTGCAGGAGAGAAGATTTACAGGAATATAAAGTGTCATGTGTCAAGTGCTCTAATAGAGTATAATGGGAAGGTCAGCAAGGACTTCAAGAAGGAGTGGACATTTGAGTTGGACCTTGAAGCACGAGTAGATATGTAAGGGGAGGTGAGGGTTTCTTGGCTGAGGAACAGCATGAGTAAAGGCATGAAACAAGTCCAGTGTTCCTGGAACATAACACGCATGAATGGAAATTACTAAAGAGAAGGCTGGAAAAGGATGGTGGGAGGACAGGCTGTATGGAGCCTTTATTCTGCAGGCAATGGGAAAGAACTGTTAGCTGATAAATAAATACTAGCTGCCGTTTGTGCCCCTACTCTGTCTAGGTGAGGCACTATATTAGCAATTTCATTCTCTCACCAACCCATTGAAAGAGGAATTATTAGCCTCACTTTACAACCAAAGAAACTGAGGATTCAAGTAGGTAACTTGCATACTTGGATCTCTCTTCTATTATCAAACTGACTCCTATTATTAATCCTTTTGTTGGGGAGGAGGAGGAAGACCAGCTCTGAGCTAACATCCAATGCCAATCCTCCTCTTTTTGCTGAGGAAGACTGGCCCTGGGCTAATATCCATGCATATCTTCCTCTACTTTATATGGGACGCCACCACAGCATGGCTTGACAAGCGGTGGTGGCAAGCGGTGCCTTGGTGCGCACCCGGGATCCGAACCTGCGAACCCTGGACTGCTGCAGCAGATCATGTACACTTAACCGCTGCACCACCAGGCCGGCCCCTGTTATTAATCCATTTTTCTGAAGTTCTTAGGATTGAAAATGAGATATTTCCAGAAATATGGATAATAATATAAGAGATAAGCCTTACAAATTGAGGCCCCCTTAGTTTCCTAGAAGGAAGTTGGTTGTTCCTTGAACAGTCACGTGAAGCAGGAGGAGCTGCTGGCCTCCTCCTGGCTCCCAGAAGACCTTGCTGCTGTCCCCAGTGCTCCTGACGGCTACCCTCCCTCTATAACAGATGTCTGACTTCAGGGATGTCATTAGAAAGTTTAGCAGACATAAGGACATGCACTAAGACCAAACTCATAAGAGAATCAAATATAGCAGCTACAATTATCAGGCAAAATTTTTTCAAAGGATAATGGTCCGTGCTTCCTTCTTTAGGCGTTGTACCCTGTGGTTCTGGGGGCTGGGGATATAAATATGATTTGAATGTACTGCCTGCTGGGAGGCATTGAAGAGTGACCAGTTCTGGGGACTACGTTTCTTTCCTCCTCTGTAACTTCAGCGTGCCCCTCTGAAAGCGGATAGTCTGATGGGGACACCACCTGAGAAACACGAGCGCACGTTTTCGTGGGGGATGTGTGTGGGTTGGACGCTGCAAGACCTCAAAGCTAGATCCCAGGCACAGCTAAATAGCAATTTAGAAACCCTAAAACCGAGGGGGCAAGAACGCCTAAGTATGGGTCATTTTTCACTCCCATTATTACGCACTCCACACTTTTCGTGTCTCAATGCCAGACATGTATTTCTACAGCATTGTCCAACTCTTATTATACCAAGATCTCAGGTTGACGACCTTCTTAGCACTCAGCAATACTGGAACCCCGACGCATGCAAGTCTACGATAAGTGTAGACGCCTGGGTGCGTGTAAGGCCATTAAAATGGCTCGGGGGAATTCTCCGGTCACCTGGGAACGCCCCCGCCTCCTCCGGCCACTCCGGCGGGGGTGGGGGGGCGTCTCCTAGGAGCCCGCGGGGCGTGAGTGCGCACGCGCGGAGCCTGGGCCTGGCTGATGCAACGGCCCGCGCCGCCGACCGCAGAGAAAGGAAGCGGCCGGGCGCTGGGCGGGGCGGGAGGCGGCCACGCGGAAGAAGGACGCGCCCGCCCTGCGAGTGACGTTCGGCGCGGGCTGGTGGCGTCGGCGGCCGCCGTCTTCGCCTCGTCCCTGCGGCCATCTTGGGCTTCGCCTCTCCCCGCGCCCGCCCGCCCGCCCGCCGGCCGTCCGGGCGCTCAGGGGCGGTTCGCGCTCGGTGTCGTGGAAAGGTGCCGCCGCGGAGGCCGTCCATGGTGGCGAGGCCGGGCGCCGACTAGGACACCT